TTTTTTTTATTGCTTTGATTCGTTTCATAGTATCTTTTATGGTTTTACTTTGATTCATTTCCGATAATCTTAATGATTTCAGTTTTGCGTATTTGTTACTTTTAGTATCAAGCAAATTATCTTTTATTTGTGATTTGTCAATTTAGAGATCAGACAAGTTGTTTTTTAAATGTGATTTCTAACCAAACTATATTCTTTCAAGTATGTCTTACTTTGTTAGTTTCCAATTTTTCGACAATCTTTTTATAGCTTGAAAAATTGCTCGGTTTCATCAATTAGGCCAAAAAAAATACTGTAACAGCTGCTTCGTTAGGCTTTGGAGAGAGCATAGTTTTAATATTTCTCATCAAATACAACTAGAACTATTAATATAAGTAAAGCATACTAATAAGTAGTTATTTCCTGAAACCATCCCCACAAATCTTTTGATTTTACGATACAACGTACAATGGTTTTGATTGTTTGGATCTTGTATGGATAATGGATTAAACTACTTATCGTCATTGATTTTAAGATTTCCAATGTTTTAATTTCGCCAAATGGTCTCGGAACACATTTTAAATTCGTTAAACCAAGATACCGTTGAATATGAAAACGACGAAATACAATAAAAATCGACCGGTTTTACTTAACCGATTTCGTTAAATACTTTTGACTTTCGCGCCAACAAAAAAAAAAGTAGTCTTTTTGCGACTTCCAAGCGAAATCAATGTCCGCCGTAAAATCTGTCTCCTCCTTCAGGCTCGCCTCTCTCCTCCGCTGTGAGAATGATCCCTCCGCCGCCATTAAGCTTTTCCGAAACCCTGATCCAGAACCAACGAACCCAAAAAAACCCTTCGATTACTCGCTTCTTTGCTACGATCTCATCATCACCAAACTTGGCAAATCCAAGATGTTTGACGAGCTAGATCAAGTCCTCCTCCAGCTCAAAACCGATACTCGGATCGCTCCCATGGAGATTATATTCTGCAATGTGATCAATTTCTACGGCCGTGGAAGTTTACCCAGTCGTGCGCTCCTACTGTTCGACGAAATGCTTCAATACCGTTGCGAACCCACTTTGAAATCCGTCAACTCTCTGTTGAGTGCGCTCATAAAGTGTGGAGCTTTCGACAAAACGAGAGAAGTTCTCTCGAGCATTGATAAATTCGGTAAGCCCGACGCTTGTACGTACAACATACTGATCCATGGATATTCTCAGAGCGGCTGTTTCGATGATGCCTTGAAGTTATTCGACGAAATGGTCAAGAGAAAGGTGAAGCCCAGTGGCGTAACATTCGGGACGCTGATTCACGGGCTGTGCAAGAATCTCAAGGTGAAGGAAGCGTTGAAGATGAAGCAAGACATGTTAAAAGTGTATGGAGTTTCTCCCACTGTTCACATTTATGTATCGTTGATCAAAGCTCTGTGTCAAGTTGGTGAATTGAGTTTTGCGTTTAAGCTGAAAGATGAGGCGTACGAAGGAAAGATCAAAGTAGACTCAGCTATTTACTCTACGTTGATTAGCTGTGTTATAAAAGCTGGAAGGTCAAACGAGGTCTCAGGGATTTTGAAAGAGATGGAAGAGAGAGGATGCAAGCCTGACACGGTGACTTACAATGTACTGATTAACGGGTTCTGCGTTGAGGATGATTTGGAATCAGCGTATCGAGTTTTGGATGAAATGGTTGAAAAGGGTTTGAAACCAGATGTTATCAGCTACAATGTGATACTTGGAGCTTTGTTTAGAATCCAGAACTGGAAAGAAGGGACTTACTTGTTTGAAGATATGCCTCGGAGAGGTTGCGTTCCAGATATCTTATCTTACAGGATAGTTTTCGATGGGCTTTGCGATGGTTTACAGTTCGAAGAAGCAGCGGTTATCTTGGAGGAAATGGTTTTCAAAGGCTACAAGCCTCGCAGTGATAGGCTTGAAGGGTTTCTGCAAAGGCTATGTGAGAGTGGGAAGATGGAGATTCTTGGGAAAGTTGTCAGTAGCTTGAATAAAGGGAATGATGTTGATGCAGATGTTATGATGCGTACAAGAACCGAGTTTCTATCAATTGATCCAGCAAAACGAGCTCCATATCCGTTGTTGGAGTCTAGACATAAAGTTGATGGTGCTATCTAAGAGTGTAAAGATATAAACACACCAGGATCAGGAAAAGAGAGAGTTTGTCATCTAGGAAACATATCTAAGAGTCTATTGATTTGTTGTAATCATATCGATCAGAGTTTTTGTAGAATTTGCAGACAAACATGAAGCATATTCTTGAATTTGTTGGAAGACAAACATTGCTATTAGACATGTTAATATAGACTTTTCTTGATAGGTTTGCTAAACATTGGAATAATCAGAATTTAAAATATTGACCGATTAGGAAAAAAGAAAAGAAAAGTGCATAAACATATGATATTTACGACAAAATCGTATTAACGTCGATGATCGGTTAAGTGGTTATTTCGAATTCATAATCTTATTTACTATATGAATTTAGTATTGCAAACCAAAGCATGTGTTCCTCTAATTATTTCTCCTTGTTGATTTTGAGTTTTGCCATTTACATCTTGATTGACATCGTCTCAAGTGGGAAGGTTGTAGTAAATGGTAAAATCGATACGTAGTGGGACTTTCTATACGTAGTAGTAAATGGTACACAACACTTTGAACTATTGATATTGTTATTGGAAGAAAAAAAAAGAAAAAACAGAAGTAATTATGCTTTCAATCGACATCCCGTTATTGAAAGAAAAAAAATGGAAGCAATTGAACTTTTGTCTCTCAAGTGCTTGATTTTTTTTTTTTTTTTTTTTTTTGTGTCTCTCAAGTGCAACGTTCTAGCGTTGGATTTTTTTTTTTGTTGACATTAATTTTAAATTCAATTCAAAAGAAGAAAAAAAATCTAACGTTGGCTTCCTGGATTCTTAGGTGGTATCCCCGAATCCAACAGCTGTTGCATTTTTTGGTCCTCAGGCAAAGGCGGACCTACTTGAACCAACAATGGTTCAAATGACACACATTAAATTTTAATTTTTTGGTTAAAAGCTTCTGAATTTATTAATTGAACCAGGTTAATTTTTGAGGTTGACACCCTATTAACTACAACCTAATGCTTTTGGTTCACTAAATCTTTATTAAAAGTCCATCATACACTAAATATGAGACTTGTTTTTACCTAAAGAAAATATAAATTGCTAATATGTAAAGCCCAAATAGCCTAAACCTACATCATCACAAATTTTTACCAAGGAACGTAAAGTGTTTTTATGTAAAATATTATGTATTTTTACAAAAAAAATTATTAATATTAATATTTTTATGTTTTTGACCCCGGTAAAAAAATATTCTAGGTCCGCCACTGTCCTCAGGCGGTATCACCGGCAGCTCTCGCCTCACTAGTTTCTTGATTGCTGCTATCTTTTCGTCTGCTACGTCTTGCTCTGTTACATTTCCATTTGCCTGACCCAATGCCGGCAGAGGCATCATCAAGTTTTCTTCTCTTAGCCGCAATCTGTTCTTCGATAGCGCCAAGACGATTTTCCTTCATCTTTCGATAACACCCAAGAGCAACCCAAACATGAAACCGTTTAATCAACCCGATTCTGGCAAATATCCACCCAAGCAAAATCACAACTGAAACGGGACAAGAAGAGGCAGCGACGATGATGGCAATCATGTGTTTTGTGGTGCCCTCCGCAATAGAAGCATCTCACCTCTATACAAAACACTCTAATGTGGCCGGACTTGCGAACCAGTGTACGTTTGACACATAGCACATGTATAGAAGATGATATAGTGACGAAAACATCACGATTGGAAAAGAATTGCACAAATTTGGTACAATGCCTTAACTCAAGCATCATGAAATATCCTACCTCTTGTTCCACTTAAGAGTGTTTGATTTTTTACCCACTAGTGTTATGCATTGACATTGTATTTTCTGGTACGTGATTTGAAAAACTTAGTAAAATTATCCAAATTCTGAATTATGGTCAATAGTTACATATAATTTTCAGTATGCAAGCAATACCTAGTTAAGTAAGAGAGAGCATCAATCAAATATGCAGGTTGTGAGAAGGATCCCATCGGGCCAATACGTAGCCGACTTTGTAAAATGACTACCATTTGATTATAAATTTTTGGGAAGTTGATGAATATGACATTGGAAAGTCAGTTAATAACTACAATAATTCTTGTAAATTCAAGTGGCTTAAACAGATTTTTTTCCCGATTTTACCCGTATTTCTTTAGTGACAAAAAAACGTATTTACGAAAGTGTCATTAATGAACCGGGATAATAAGTCTACAAAAGACGTTTTCCAAAATAAGTCTACAAGAATAAATCTACAAACAATGACCGTAGAGTTATTATGAAAATTGTAGACTAATTTTTCGATTTGTAGATTTATATCGTCTTGTAGATTTATCTTCTTATTCGTAGACTTTTGTTTGTAGATTTATTTTTAGTTTCCGTAGACTTAATTAAGTTTGTAGAGTTATTTCTATTATTGTAGATTTATGTTTGTAGACTTAATTAGTATTGCAGTAGACTTTTAAAAAATGTCAAAGTCGAAGTGGCATTTTGTATATTTATTAATAAATTTGTAGATTTATTGTTGTGTAGCCGTAGATTTATAGTTTTCTTGTAGACTTATTTGTTTTGGCCGTAGATTTATTTTTATGTTTATGTTACGGTAGATTTAGTTTACATTACTGTAGATTTATACATTGTCTTGTAGATTTGTTTATTTAACAGTAGATTTAAGGAACATGCTAACTTCCGTTTATGTTATGGTAGATTTATTTTCTTTGATTGTAGATTTATTGGTGCACAGTAGATTTATTCATTGTTGTGGTAGACTTATTTATAACAATTGCAATGATCATAGACTTTTATTTGTATATAACAACAGACGTAAACTAAGATGTAATGGTTGTAGACTTTTGTTTGTATATTACAATAGTAGTAGACTTAATTTACCGAGCGTAAATTTATTTAAAAAAATTGCAATGGCCGTAGACTTTTATTTGTTTATTACCACATAAGTAGACTTACTTCGTTGAGTGTAAACTTATTAATAGCAATTACAATGGTCATAGACTTTTGTTACTATAGTAAAATAATATTAGTGTGGGTTCGGAAAACCACACTCAAAATTTATGTGTATTTTGTAGGGAGAAATTGCCTGTGGAATCAGAGGTTAGATTCTGATGTAAGTCGAATGATTCGTAGACAAATATTTGACGAAATCGGACTTAGGCTAATCGAATAAAGTGGTTACAAAACCGGCCTAAAAGACCATGTAAAACACTAGGATTCGACTAAGCAAAAGAGATGGAAATGAGGTGGTGGCTGTGCTCGTTAACGAGCTGCCTACGTACCCTGTTTTAGGGATCAAGCCTGGACGTAGTTCGATGTTAAGTTGTTCTCTATTTCGAGTCGTTTTCTGAAGAGAAATGGCCACGAAAAGAGCTAAAGGGGTATGAAGATGACGATAAATCTCAGGTAATCGGAGTGATCCGAAGGTAAGAGATTACGTCAAACTTCTGCCGGAAGTGATTTCCGGCTAGAAAGATCAGGGCTTTCTGGGATTATCTCAAAGACCAAGGATAAGGTCGAAGAGAAAAGGATGTCAGAATATCTCAAGACAAAGAAGTGAGAAAGATGTTTTCTAGGAAAGGAAACTTTTCATTCAGGAATTCGTTCTCTCTCGGAAATGAGAAGGATTAAACTTATCATCCAGGAAATGGAAGGAAAAAACTTATGCCTTGTGATCAAGAATCGTCCTCCTTTTATAGCTCCGAAGTAGATCGCAACCTCCTCCGCATATCTCGTCCACGTGCAACTACCGATTCCGCTATTTCCGGATCTGAACGATCAAAGCGAGATTCTTGTTTGACCCGTTCAAACTCAGCTTGCGGACTTGACTCCGTCGAGCTAGAGCTCGACTTCGTCTTCACAAGTAGCTCGGACAGTAAATAGCTGGATTTTGGACAAGAATATTTGGCGGGCTCGAGGTCATTTTACTGGGCCTGAGTGGACTTATCTTGACCTTAGGACTTAGGTGATGGGCCTTATGGGCCGGATTTGTGGAGGGAAATCCAGGTCCAACAATAGCCCCCCAGCTCATTAAGTGAGTATAATCAAGCTTAATGAGCGGTAGGTTGTTTTAAAATTGTCCCGCAGTCCCATCGAACTAAATCATGACTTTGAACGGTCATTAGAGATCGACGGTCGTAAACGGGAAGGCAAGAGATCTTTGAGATCTCGCCGTTGAATAATAGTTTCACCTTAAAAGACAAGGTAATTGAAACAACCAACATTTTTTTTTTTAATAAATATTAATCAGTTCTAGCGAAGGTCTTAAAAATAAATTAAATAAATAAAATATCAATAACAAATAAATCAGCTCAGCGGAAGCAAATAATAATTAAACAAGTCTAGCAAAATAATGCAAAACAATAAAACAGTAAACATCCTATCATCCCCCTCTTCAGCCTTGATTCCGCGATCACACAAATCTTTTACCTGCAACACATTGGAATGGAGTTGCGTAAGTATTTAATAAATACTTAGTGAGGCAATCACTCTGCCTACGAGCCATTTACGCAATTTACTAGATATTTAATAATATTTATAAACTTCAATAATTATTAAATACCATTTTCCAATTATTAAATAATTTTTAATAATTAAAACTCAATTTCTCAATTATTAAATAATTCTCATAATTAAATAATAATTTTCCATATTTTAAAATAATTAAAATAATACCAATTAATTAAATAAATATTATTTAATTAATTAAATCCGAATTAAATCTATTTAATTCCATTAAACCAATTAAATTCAATTAAACCAATTAAATTCAATTGAACCAAGATAAACCAGAATCAAATCAATTAAATTCAATTAAACCAATAAACCAGATTAAACCACACAAACACACAATTCATCACATGAACAACCAAAATATCATAAAAATAACAATTAAAAACATAAACTCATCAAGAACAACCACAAACCAAATCTAATCTAGCAAATCACGGACCCACAGTCATGCACTCACCTTGACAATTGACTGAAACTGAAGGAAAAAGGAAGGACGATGAACAGTGCCGAATCGCGGATGAACAGTAACCCGTGAACAGTACCGATGAACAGTAACCCGTGAACAGTGCCGATGAACAGTAAAATTCGAAAATCTCTCCAAAAACTCAACTTTTCTCCTCTACAGCATCTGAACTCGAAAATTCTCCAAAGAGAAGACGGCTGCACTCTTTAAACTTGATTTTAGGGCTTTCTCCACTAAACCGACCCAAACCAATTCACTTAAATTGAACCGACAAAATTCCCAATTTTTATTTTTGGTTTATGGATGTTACAGTAATAACTTATTCTTTAGATCGACAATCAAGATCGAAAATAGATCGAAGAGCTATTATGATCTTAAGAGTCGAGCTTTTCGAGAGTAGTGAAAACCTTAGGAGAAGATTTGCGATTATCAACTCTTTTAGATTGTTTCTCGAGAAGGCTTTTGGTTTAACTAACTCAAACATTGCGCGAGCTCTTTTTGAGTTAATCGATTATTTTTCGAGTTCGACCAATTGTTGATTAAATTCTTTAATCGAACTTGGTCGCTTTAAGTCGGACTGTTTTTCCGGACTCGAACTCGAAAAAGAATACGACTAAATGAATTTTAGTCGGTTTATTTGATTGAATTCTCGCATAAGATTTTCGGCTGACCATGAGATCTTGCAGAAAAAGACTTTGCCAACTCTTCCTGAAGAGTTGCTTCAAGTTAAACTGATTTCTTTTTGAAATTTCGAGTCAAACTTGGCATGATTTCGACTAAGTATTTGTTTTATTTAGGTCGAGCTAAATAAAACTAGTCTTTGGTTCGAATGTTATTTTGACCAAACGTTCGAGCTTATCATTGAGCTAAGCTGAACAAAGACTTAGTCAATATCTTTGAAGATATTCTTAAGGTCGGGTTAGAATCTATTGAGAATCTAGCTCGATCTTGAAGATGTTCTCGAGTTTTAGCTCGAGAATTTGGCAGAGTGCTTGACTGCCATTCAAATCAGACTAGGTGAGACTTAGTTGATTTCTTGGGATCATATAAGATCAAGCAAGAATCTATTTAGAATCGAGCTTGACAGGATGGTATATGTCCCGAGCGAACTTCGAATCGAGCTCGATGCTGCGATAGAGAAAGTTTTTCGCTGTAATGACTTGGGCGAGTCATATGTTTTGCTTCGGACTTAATACATGTGAAGGCTTTCATCCATTTTTAGCAAAAAATTTTGTTTGTTACTGTTTTTCGCCGCGTTCCATCTGTTACAGATTAGAGCCCGACTTCGAGTATCCCACCTCTTGGAAGAGAGAGATTTCTCGCGAGCTAACGTTTTGTGAACGATCTGCAAAGTCGGCTGCCGCTCGTTGTGAGCAAGCAATCCAATCTGGAGCTAATGGAGTTGTGGAGATTGTCCATGTTGCGGTCGAATATACTCTTCGTGATGAAGTAGTAGGTCGAGTTCTTCATGCTGCTATGGGGATAATGCAAGTGACTCATTTGAGACGAACTATCTCGTTGAGAGTCGAATAGCGAACAATGAGGATGGAGCTCGAAATGAGCAAGAGGATGATAATCGGACTCCGAATTTGTCGAGCTCCTTGAAAAAGCGAGTTAACTCGACGGCGAGTCCGTCATCCCTTTTAGTAATAGATTGTTCGAAGGATGTGCCAGTTTTGGATAATCCTTGAACGTTCATGTTGCGCCAATGCGGGCCTGCTGCAAATCAATCTCCAGTTTTGGATATGACGCTCGAGAGAGAGCTGTATGCGGCAGCGATGGCGGCGGATGAGAAGGTATGGTTTTACCTTTTCTAAGTTTTTGCCAATGATTTGATATCTTCGGACTTAATATTTGCTGTCTCTCTTATCAAGCTTTGAAGGTTAACATGAAGCTCTCTGCTCGTTGTGAGCAGAGGTTACATGAAGCTTCTCGGTAATACGAGCTTGATAAGATGAAACACCTGGTAGATGAGCTCGATACTGAGCTCAAATATTCGAGAAATAGAGTAGCTCGTCAAAGCGACTTGCTTAAATTTTGGCTTGCTAAGGATGAGCTATTTTCTCGTTTAAGTTTCGAACAAGTTAGCTCGGAAAGGTTTTCATGCTTTGCGTTTGGATTTGGTGCCTCGGAAGGCTTTTATCCTTTTATGTTCAAACTTGTTTGCTCGGGATGAGCTTGATATTTGATAATTTTTCAATTGATTGTTAGCTCGATTGTTCGAACATTAGTCGTTTTGGTTTTCCAGATTGGAGATTTGAACATTACGTTTTGGTTTGAGAGATTTGACCTAGCGTGTAAGCTAACTGGTCGGACCGGATGAAGCTCAGTTGATCTCTTTTGAGAATCGTATAAAGTTGAGCTAGTTTCTTTTCGAATTCCAGCTCAAACTTTTAATGTGTTGAGCTTCAACTTGGAAGGTTGAGTCGGGTTGAGCTAACCTCTTTCGATTGAAAACGACTGATTTTAGATTATCGTCTGAATTCAGTAGGTGATCTACACAATCAGCACTCGAGCTTCATCTTTAAAGATTACTTTAAGTCGAGGTGATTTCCTTTCAGACTTTCAGTCGGATTCGACCGGTGTTTGCCAATTGCGTGATTTTGTAGATTAATCTACATGATCGGCAATTGGGCTTGATTAAAGAAAGACTACTCGGGGTTGAGCTGATTTTCTTTAAGATTATCAATCGGATTCGATCGATGCCAGTTGTGTGATTTCGTAGATTGATCTACACAATCAGCTCTGGTGCTTTTAGCTTGCAAAGGCTGCTCGAAATCGAGCTAATCGCCTTTCAGATCTTCAGTCGGGTTCGACTGGCTTTTGCCGATCGTGTGATCTCGTAGATTGATCTACATGATCAGCACTTGGTCTTAATCTTCAAGGACCGCTCGTACTCGAGCTGATTACCTTTCAGATCTTCAGTCGGATTCGACTGGCTTTTGCCAATTGTGTAATCTCGTAGATTGATCTACATGATCAGCACTTGGTCTTAATCTTCGAGGACCGCTCGTACTCGAGCTGATCACCTTTCAGATCTTCAGTCGGATTCGACTGGCTTTTGCCAATTGTGTGATCTCGTAGATTGATCTACATGATCAGCACTTGGTCTTAATCTTCGAGGACCGCTCGTACTCGAGCTGATTACCTTTCAGATCTTCAGTCAGGTTCGACTGGCATTTTGCTAAGTATTCGATGTCCTTAGGAGTAATTCGAATGTTTAGCTGATTTGGGTTGTTGGGCCCAAAGTTTGTTTTTAGTCCTAGACCGATGGTAGGTTCTAGGTGATCTCTAGGATTAGAATTGATCTCTCTTCCTAGCTTCTGAAGTCGATCTCGACCTCCTTCGCATATCTCGTCCATGTTCAAACTGCCATTCTGGCTGTTTCCGGGGCTCATCGGTATAAGCAACATTATCACATCACACGCAAAGTCCAGCTATTTCATGGTCTTATCGGTCTGCAATATCGTCACCCGACTCAAACAGACCAGCTATTTCATGGTCACATTGGTCTAAGCGATATTACCGCCTGACTCGTACAGCTCGGACATTACCGGAGCTCATCGATCTCAGTAGTATTATCGCCAAACACGTACAGCCCGGTCTTGAAGACTTGATTCCGTCGAGGTATTACTCGACCTCGTCTTTACAAGTAGCCCGGATGTAGTATGTACTTAGATAAGTATACTTGATGGGGTCAAGGTCAGCCTTACTGAGCCTGGACGGACTTTTCTTAGTCTTAGGATCTTGATAGTTGATGGTGGCTGCGCTCGTACTTCGAGCTGCCTACGTACCCTGAATAGGGATCAAGCCTAACGTAGTTCAGGTTCTAGACCGAGAATAGGTTCTAGATGATCTTTAAATTAGAGTCGTGCTTTTTTCATAGCCTCTGAGGTCGTTCTCGTCCTCCTCCCCAACTGTTTCCAGGGCTCATCGGTATAAGCAACATTACCGTCAGACACGTCAGACCAGATATTTCATGGTCTGTTGGTCCGAGCGATATCGTCACCCGACTCGTGAGATCCAGATAATTCCGGAACTCATCGGTCTGAGCGATATTACCACCACGGTCCGGACATTACCGGATTCCGTCGGTCTAAGTAATATCACCGCCCAACACGTACAGCTCGGCTTGAAGACTTGATTCCGTCGAGGTATTACTCGACCTCGTCTTAACAAGTAGCTAGGGTAGCATATCTGCTTGGACAGATATGCTTGGCGGGGTCGAGGTCAGTCCTCCTCCCCAACTGTTTCCAGGGCTCATCGGTATAAGCAACATTATCGTCAGACACGTCAGACCAGATATTTCATGGTCTAGTTGGTCCGAGCGATATCGTCACCCGACTCGTGAGATCCAGATAATTCCGGAACTCATCGGTCTGAGCGATATTACCACCTAATTTGTACGGTCCGGACATTACCGGTTTCCGTCGGTCTAAGTAATATTACCGCCCAACACGTACAGCTCGGCTTGAAGACTTGATTCCGTCGAGGTATTACTCGACCTCGTCTATACAAGTAGCTGGGGTAGCGTATCTGCTGGACAGATATGCTTGGCGGGGTCAATGTTAGTCCCACTGGGCGTAGATAGACTTCTCGCGATCTAAAGATCTGGATAATGGTGGCTGCGCTCTTGGGTGGAGCTGCCTACGTACCCTGAATAGGGATCAAGCCTAAACGTAGTTCAAGGGGGGTGAGAGTTTGTAGACGTTTTGCCGAACTACTTTGGTGATGGGATTAGGTCATTCCAAGTTGGTTCCTGTTTCCTTATCACCGAACTCTCTTTGCCATGACGTATTAACTTGAGCTTGCTTTTTCGAGCTTTATTACGAGTTAATCATCGTGGGCTTTTTCTTGTGAACCTATTGGTTTTCAAGAGTTTGGTTTTTAGGTCGAATCTTTCTAGAGGAAGAGCTCGTCTAGAAGATTTGACCTTTTGTTGTATGCTTTGATCGAGTTGTTCGAGTCTTAGCACTTTTTCGAGCCTCCGCGAATGAATTTAATTCATTTGAGGGTGGGTGGCTCCACTCCCCCGAAAACTTGTGAAATCAGCGTGAGCATGAGTTCGCAAAGTTCTTAAACTCGGGTTGAGGTTTTCGTTAGCTGTCTGAGAAGACGCTCCACTCCCCCGCGAGATTGTGAGCTCTGCATAAGCTAGAGCTCGCTATCTTTTGGTGCGGGCGGGCGGGTGACCGCGAGGGTCATTGAGCTGCGGCGTGAGCTGAGCTCTCTGAACACCGGGTCGAGTCGAATCGCTTCTTATGTGAAAGAGGTGATTCTTGGGAGATGATTCCGATCTCGCGTTCCCTTTTTCGGGGTGCTTTGTCGTTATCGTTCGATGAGGGCTGATTGGCTTTTTCCATTTTTGCCTCAGCTCTGCTTTTTAGCTAATTCCTTAGCTCTGGCTCGGCATTCGTCGGTGGAATGGCCGTAGATTTGGTGATGTTCGCAGAACTTCTCTAAATCGGAACTCGGGTTCGGTTTGAGAACTGAGTTCGCGAATGAAAGAGAGTGTTGCGGTAATCTTCCTTTGCGATGTCTTTCTAGGAGGAGATTGATCTCCTCTTCAAAGAGTAGCAAAGGTTGACGCGCAGCGAAGTGCATCGTCGAGTGATACAGGAGGTCGAACGATTAGTTCTTCTCTGAATTTTGATTTGTACCACAGGTTGTTTCGGAAGGCTAGTAGAGCTACTGCCTCGTTAGGGTTTTCGATCTTAGCAATGATTGCTTTGAATCTATTGACGTAGGATCGAAGTGATTCGTTTGGAGCTTGAGAAAGCTTCCAGAGATCGGCTTCGAAACTTCTGATTCGATGAAGATCGAATATTGGTTTACGAATGCCGAAATCAGCTGGTCGAAATTATCTATTGATTTTTCATCCAGCGTTTGCAAACCATTTTTTAGCTGGTCCGGCTAGGTTTTCAACAAAGAGTTGGCAGCAAGCTGCTTCTATCTCTTCGGGAGAAAATTGAGCTCGAAGTATTTCGAGATAAAGAGCTCGAATATAAGCTCGTGGATCGCTGTTACCAGAGTATTCTGGGATACATAGCTTGTAAGTATCGCGCAGACAGGTGTTAGCGATCCTGGATGAGAAGGGAGTTTGTTGTGTCTCCCTGATTACTTTGTCGATATCTGGAATCAAACTCATTGTTTGGTTAAACGTTGAGTTCGCTTGCCAGAATGCGAGGTTTGTTTGGTCCTGGAATCTTTCGAAAGATTCGCAGTCCAAAAGGTTTCGCGGATCGACAGGAATCCGATTAGTTGAAATCGGATGGGATAGAGCTCGATTTGACGAGCTGTTTGCTTTTGTCAATCGAGCTAGATCTGTCGGATCGTTTGCTCTATGAAATTGAGCTCGATCGACTAGATCATTTGTTGCGGGAAACTGTTGATAGTTTCCGTTCACAACAGTTCGAGCTGTTGCAGGGAGCTGCGAGCTCAAAATTTCATCGGACTGATTTTTGAGCTGAGACATCGCCTGCAAGCTTGAGTTGGAAGCCATAGTTTCGGGCCATCTAAATATAGTTGGCTCGATACGTGATAGCTTTGGAGGTGGAGATGGAAGTCGCTCTGTTGGCTGAGATCCTATCTCCGATTTGCTTGAATCTGGAATGTTCAAGCTGCTCATTGGCGAGCTCATCGGTGGGACGAGAGTCTGGAAGACATGAGCGCGCAGTGGCGCCTCATCCCGTTTCGACGAGCTGTTTAACGAGGTCATCGGTGGGATGAGAGTCTGGATGACAGAGCACGCGGTGGTGCCTCATCCCGTTTCGACGAGCTGTTAGGTTCGTAGATTGGTGAAGAGTCGAGCTGAGTTCCCGGAGGAGGACTTATAATCGTCCGTAGCTCAGCAAGACTTCGTTCATATTTTTCCAACCTGATTTTTTGGTCGTATTGACTGTTAATCAGGTCGGTGAGCATTCGCTTGATTCGGGCTTGGTCGTCCGGATTCGGTCGAGCCAAGGCAAACGATGTTGACACAGTTTGCGTCGGAGTTTCCGACTGATCGGTGTCGAGGTAATCGGGAAATCTTTAGATTTGACCCGAATCCGCAAATGAGGTTTCTCAATTGCGTGCGAGATCTGATTCGGTAGAATCGAGTTCTCGGCTGTCACAGGAGTGACGAGGTTGATCACCGATGGTTTCACGCGGGCTGGAACATTCGAGTTCGCTGCCGCGGAGGTGATAACCGGATCGATCAGGACGCTCGATCTACTAGCAGTTTGGCTGCTGCCAGTTGGCGAGGTGATCGGGTTTTTCGATGTGTCTGCAGTTTTGGCACTGCTGACATCCGAAGTGATTTGATCCGATGGGATCTGAGATTGGGAGCGAGCTCCCTGAGAATTTGATAGGACTGAGTCCATTTCGTTCTCAACTGGTCTAGGTTCGACCCTTGTGTAAGAGAAAGCTATTGTCTCCCCTCCTTCTAGCGCCAAAATGTGGGTTCGGAAAACCACACTCAAAATTTATGTGTATTTTGTAGGGAGAAATTGCTGTGGAATCAGAGGTTAGATTCTGATGTAAGTCGAATGATTCGTAGACAAATATTTGACGAAATCGGACTTAGGCTAATCGAATAAAGTGGTTACAAAACCGGCCTAAAAGACCATGTAAAACACTAGGATTCGACTAAGCAAAAGAGATGGAAATGAGGTGGTGGCTGCGCTCGTTAACGAGCTGCCTACGTACCCTGTTTTAGGGATCAAGCCTGGACGTAGTTCGATTGTAAGTTGTTCTCTATTTCGAGTCGTTTTCTGAAGAGAAATGACCACGAAAAGAGCTAAAGGGGTGTGAAGATGACGATAAATCTCAGGTTATCGGAGTGATCCGAAGGTAAGAGATTATGTCGAACTTCTGCCGGAAGTGATTTCCGGCTAGAAAGATCAGGGCTTTCTGGGATTATCTCAAAGATCAAGGATAAGATCGAAGAGAAAAGATATGAGAATATCTCAAGACGAAGAAGAAGAACTTCACTCTGTTTCTCTGTGAAAAGATGATGAGAAGAACTTGTTATGATTTTCGATCAAAAGAATGTCCAAAAGAACATTCTGCCTTGTGATCAAGAATCGTCCTCTTTTTATAGCTCCGAAGTAGATCGCAACCTCCTCCGCGTATCTCGTCCACGTGCAACTACCGATCCCGCTATTTCCGGATCTGAACAGTCGAAGCGAGATTCTCGTTTGACTCGTTCAAACTCAGCTTGCGGACTTGACTCCGTCGAGCTAGAGCTCGACTTCGTCTTCACAAGTAGCTCGGACAGTAAACAGCTGGATTTTGGACAAGGATACTTGGTGGGCTCGAGGTCATTTTACTGGGCCTGAGTGGACTTATCTTGACCTTAGGACTTAGGTGATGGGCCTTATGGGCCGGATTTCTGGAGGGAAATCCAGGTCCAACAAACATATTATAGCGTTTATCATTTCAAAAACGCTATAAAAAAGTCATGCATCCGTCAACTATAGCAGAAGCACATAAAACACTATACTAAAGTGCTAATAATGCATGTTTTTCTTGTAGTGAAGATTCATTAGTAGCTTGGCGAAAGTTGGAGATCTTGTTTCTAACAGAAAATGATCTTTGTTTGGTGTAGAAATGGTTGATGAAAGCGGCCTTGTACGCATCCCAAGTGGTGATGGAGTGAGCGGGCAGAGACTTCAACCATCTTGAAGCTTTGTCGCCAAGACATAATGAAAAGAGTTTGCACTTCAAGTAATCGGCTGAAACTCCATTGGATCTAGTAGTGCTGCAAATATCATCTAAGTTTTCTATGTGATCAAGAGGATGTTCGGCTGGAAGGCCATTGAATTGGTTCTGCCTAACCAATGCTATGATTTGAGGCTTGATCTCATAGTCATTCCTTGCAGGAAGTGGTGGATGGATTGGATTCCTATCCGTGAAGAAAGCATCGCAGAGTCGTAGTCTCCGATCGTTTGAATGTTAGCTTGAGGTTTCACATCAACATCCCCAGGAGGATGTTGTGGATTTAAGGGAGGAGGTGGATCTTTTCCTTCTTTGTTAGCTCTAGCTACCTCAGTGTCATGAGCTGCACGAGCTGCGTTCTCGGCCATCTCTTGAGCTTTTTGTCTCCTAAGTATCTTCTCAAGCTTGTCTATCTCCGGATGTTCGACTAGGTTGTCTTTGTTAGACTTCCTAGTCATGCACCTGAAAAGAATCTAGGAAACAAACTAAATCAAAAGGGAAAAACAAAAGCAAAAACAAAATCCAAAATAAAATGAGAATAAAAACTAGAAATTCAAAAGCAAAAACCAGCAAGAAAAGTAAGATTCTAGACTAGATCCTAGTCGAGATTCAAAGGTACTACTGCAGTCCCCGACAACGGCGCCAAAAACTTGATGTGAGTCAGGTTTTACCAAACTCTTTAGACCTCTGCAAGGTTTTACCAAACTCTTTACCAAAACCGTCTAGAACACAGATCACAAATATAAAACCTTTCCACTTTCGAGGGTCCGGTTCCTTTGTTAATTGATGTACTTGCATTTTGACATGGTTTTAGTACATCTTTTATGCATCTTTTGCATAGTTTTAGCATCCATTAGCATCATATCTTGTTCCTTTTCCCTTCTTATGCATTCATAGTAGTTTTAGGTTGCATTTGCATACATATGCATGTTTGGTCCTTGAAATAGGTCTTTTGGAGCACTTTGGAGCATTTGGGACGTGAGGAGCAAGGAAGGACTTGGTGCATGGACAGCTCAACTGGACACGCAAAGGAAGAAGGAGGAAGCCATCTTGAAGACCAGCTCGACCACCTACTCGACCATCCGGTCGAGTTCCTCAACTCGACCGGCCAAGCTTCAACTCGATCGAGCTGAGAGTCAACAGTCAAACCCGAAAAATGTTGCTTCCCCCTTGACTTTCCTTTGACCCTAAACCTATGTTGCTTCCCCCTTGACTTCCTTTGACCCTAAACCTCTTGTATTTAAAGGCTCTAAGCCACGAAAAAGACAACAATCTTTAGCTTATTTTTGTTTTAGCTTTTCTTTAATTTGTAATTTACTTTTTGCAACCTAAGCCATCTTTGTGTTCTTGAGCTCTTGCTCTTGAACCTTAGATCTAGGCTATTTCTTTGTATTTGCACTTGCTTATTTCAATAAAAGTTGTTTAGTTTCATCTCCTCTTTCATTTATGTCTTTCATTGCATTTGATTGTGTTTACATTCATGTGTAGTGAGTAGTTACCTTTAGGGTTTAAGATGGGCTAGATTAGAGGATCTTATGCTTAATCTCTTTTGCTTATGTTCTTAATCTAGAAATCTCTCTCTTTTGGACAAACCTTAAGGCTACATGACCACTACCCCTGGCTTGTATGTCATAGGCGATTTCCACATGGAAGTGATGGAAATCGCTTGGAAAAGGTCCACTAAGAGCTCCAATAAACCTTGCTCTCGAAATGGAGTTCATAGGTGTTGGATGGATTAGTTTGAGCAATGATCCTATGCCTCCAAGGCTTGATTCTCACTGGCTAACCCCCTGTTTCTGAGATCTTCCTTGGTTGATAGCTTTCACCTTGGGAAAGGGTTAGCTAGGCATTGAGAAGCTCAATATCAAGAGATACCTTGATACAAGTTGTTAAGAGCAAGATTGATTAAGTATAGTTCCCTATTGTAAGACCCTGTCTTAGACCCTAAATTCGCATTAGCTTGTTAAAGTTCTGCCTTTATCGCTTTTACGTTAACTCGACCGAGCTTGGTTACTCTGTTCCCACTCGACTCGAGTCCTTGGTCGAGCTGCTTGCTTTACTGCTTTTTTATTTTATGCACTGCATTTCTTCTTTAGGTTGTTAGATTATTCCCCCTTTATTGTACTGCTTGACTTTTTGTTTTGCATATTCATAGAGCAACATTTCACCCTTTTGGATTGATAACCTCTTATACTTCAATGACTATGATGGTTAAGAGGAATTGATTGATTGTGATTGCACCATACCATCATCTTCATTTACCACTGTTTGCATTCCACCTCATATCATTACATCATTTCATATCACACACACAAATCCTATCATCAATTTGGCGCCGTTGCCATTTGGGTTGAATTTTGTTGCATTTGAGTTTCAATACACTTGGACGATCAAGCTATCCCACCCCTGTTCTTTGTATTGCTGGGTTTTTGATTCTTTTTGCAGGTGTATGCGAACTCGATCGAGTCGAACAACTGAAGACTTGGTCGAGCTAGACTTTACACGGGTAGAAAGAAAGTCAGAGAACTCAGAGGGTACAAGAGAACCTGAGGTGCTTGTTACTGATACCATGGATGTACCAGAGGGGAATGGAAACCCTTTGGGTAATGGACTCGGTCGAGCTAGGCAAACTCGACCGATTGGTCTAAGGAGATGCTCCAAACCGCCATCAACAGAGACAAGGGATTGTTCCACCACCAGTGCAGAACCACAACTTTGAGATCAAGCTGGGAATGATCAACCTTGTCAGAACAAGATGTTCCATGGATTGCCAAGTGAAGACCCCATTGATCACCTTGATGAGTTTGATAGGCTTATGTGATTTGACAAGATCAATGGTGTCTCTGAAGATGCCATCAAGCTGAGACTCTTTCCTATGTCTCTTGCTGACAAAGCTCACCAATGGGAGAAGAGCTTGCCCCATGGCACAATCACCACTTGGGATGAATGCAAGAAGGCCTTTCTTGCTAAGTTTTTCTCCACCGGTCGCACAGCCAAGCTAAGGAGTGAGATATCAAGCTTCATAGAGGAACAATGAGACTTTTGCTGAGGCTTGGGAGAGATTCAAGGGCTACACAAGTCAGTGCCCACATCATGGATTCAACAATGAGTCATTGCTCTCTACTCTTATAGAGGTTGCTTGGCAAGGTATAGAGAGATGTTGGACACAGCCAGCAATGGAACTTCCTTAATCAGGATGTGGATGATGGCTGGCAGCTTGTGGAAAACATTGCAACTCCAATGGAAGCTATGGAGAAGAGTATGATCGCACCAACCGGAGCTCGACCCACCACTCGATCGAGTCGATGAGAAATTGAGAAAAGATGTCAAATCGTTGAATGAGAAGTTGGATAAGCTTATCTTAGCTCAGTCCACAATGAAGAAGTCAATTTTGTGTCTGCTGAAGAGATGGAACCAGTCCAAGAAGGGGAGGATACACAATTTGCTGAAGTATGTTACATGAGCAATGGGCAAGGAGGTTACAACAAAGGATACTATAATTACAAGTCCAACCCAGCCATGTCATACAGAAACACTGATGTTGCCAACCCTCAGGACCAGGTTTACCCTCAACAACAGCAAGCTCGATCGAGTCAAGCTCCACAACATGGGTATGGTCCTAAAAACAACTACCAAGGCCCTCAAGGGACTTTTCCTGGTCAGCAAATGCACATACCACCTGGCTTTCCCCACCAACCACCCCAGCCTGCACCTACACCTGAGCATGAGCTCAAAGCTATGCTGAAACAATTGCTTCAAGGTCAAGCTGATGGTGTGTGGAGACAAGCAAGAAGTTGCTGAAATCAACTCCAAGATTGAGAACTCAACACAAGAGTGTACTCTCTGGAGAATCATGCTTCTTCTGCTGCTGCTGCTAAAGCAAGGACAACTACCTGGTAAAGCTGTTCAGAACCCCAAGGAACAGTGCAAGGTCATTTCACTCAAGAAGGTCTTGATGAAGAAGAGGATCAAGAGAGAGTCATGGAAGAGTTTGTTTGCTGCTGAATGACGACGAGATTGTTGCTGCTGAGGCTCCTGGAGTCCAGATTGATCAACCTGAAGTGCAAGCTACTACCATAGCCATTCACACTTCACCAGTTGAGCTCGCACAACAAGCTCGATCGGCAGCTCGATCGAGTCACTCTAGCTCGATCGAGTCAGACATCAGTCCTCAAACCGATTTTGCTTGATCCTTACCAGCCAGTTGACCCATCCTCATCTCGCCTACTCAGTCAAGGCCATAAGGAAGTGATTCACAAGTTCAGAAGAGACCTCAGTGAGATTGGAAGTTGAGTTGCCTTCTATGGAAAGCATGAGTGAGGCATTTGAGCAAATGAAGTGATTCAAGATGTTATGGCTAACAGGAAAAGGTTTCAGAGCTTCTGGAGATGTCTACTCACCAAATCAACCTGCTTACCTCACCTACTTTCTTACCAAAGGTGAAGGATCAAGGGAAGTTCACTCTCCCTTGCACACTTGGGCATATTGAGCTTGACAATGCCTTGGTGGATTCTGGTGCAAGCATTAATCTGGCAACTTCAAAATCTTTTGTTGGTGTGTTCAAGAACTATCACTTGAAAATAGGAGAATGCATCATCCAAACTGACTCACTGTCATGGAAATGGAAGAAGAGAAGGATCTACCTCTGCTATTGGGAACCCCATTCCTTAGCACAGTTGGCGCTTCAATAGACTTTCACAAGCAAGAAGTGATTCTTCACAAGGTGAATAGTTTGGTGTCTTATCGCTTGCAGCCTAGAGGATCAGACTTTTGTGCCACAATTGAAAGCACTCCTCTAGTTCCAAGCTCATGAAGTTACAAAGGTTGTGAAGGAAAAGGGTTGACAAAGAGCCAAGAGTTGTGAGAGATAAGGTTGAGAAGGATCAAAGAGTTGATAAGGGACCAAGGATTGAGAAACCACGCCTTGAGAGGCCAGAGTTGAGAGACCACGATCTGATAGGCCACGAGCTGATAGACTTGTTCAAGCACCATTGTGTCTTGATGAGGAAAGCCTCCAAGCTTTGTTTGATGAGCCACTAGGAAGCGCTCAAAAAGAAGGGGAGGATGCAGCCTCAAAGGCACTTGTGGGAGAGAAAAGAAAGAACCCACCAGCTCAGGTTTCCTCAGCCAAGCCATCTCAGCTCACAATGACCTTGTTCCCCACCAAATTTGAAAATGGAAAGATTGAGTACAAGATAAGGTACAAAGGGAGATCAAGACCATTCTCTAGAGCCAAGGCCTTGGTCACTTCAGAGCAGTCCAGGGATCCAACCAAGCTAAAGGAGCTTCTGTCTCAAGTCCTCACTATCACCCTTGATGGTGGGACTAGCTCAACCAATGCCTAAGAGGTAAAGGTCAAGCTATGGGACCTTAAAACAAGCTCACTTGGGAGGAAGTCCCATGACTATCCTTGTACATACTTTTTAATGCAATTTCTATCTAGTTTTGTGTCTTAACGTTTCAGGAATATTAAGTTTAGGTGACAAGAAGCCAGCTCGACCGCAGCTCGATCGAGCTAGAAACAAGGGTAACTCGATCGAGTTCCACAACTCGACCGAGGAAGGTAAATTTTTGAATTTCAAATTTTGGAACCGTTTCCTATGGTCAAGGAGTGGGTCCCACATCTAAATTTTGGTCCCCCACTTCCCAAAATCGATCAGAAAAACCCTTTACCTTTTGTCCCCTCTTTAAACCCTCTTTTAATCCTAACCACACATCTCAAACACTCCCTTTTCCCCATAACTCGATCGCGCCCCCTTCTCTCTTTATCTCACACTCAAAATTTTCTGAAAACACCATCTCTCTCCCTTCTCTCTAAGAAAATCCGAAAATCTCTCTTCATCCCTTGAGTTTTTGGCGATTTTCCTTGTTTTATATCTTAAATTGCTTTAGTTTCTAGCTACTGTTCTAGAACATCCGTCATTCAAGCAAGGTTGAACCCTAAACCCTCAAGTCTATAGTTTTGATTCCTCTCTCTCTTATTGCATTTTGTTCTCTTGAATTTTTGCTTGCATGTGTCTCTTGTGAGTTGTTCTTGAAGTATTGCATTCATGTTTATCTTTTGCTTTAAGAATCTTGAACCAACCTCACCTCACCTCTGTTTTGTCATTTAAAATTGTTGCATGTGCTTAATCCCTTTAAATATGAGTTTGGTATTGCTAGGATGCTTTAATCTTCACTATAATTGCTTATTGTTCCAAGTTCTTGATGTTCTTAGATCAATTTGATGTTTAAGCATCCTATCCTGCTCTTAATACTTGATTTAGATTCGGTTTGCTCTGTTTTCACCTAGCTCGATCGAGTTTGTCACTCGAGTTTTTTTACTCGATCGAGCTGGGTGTCGAGCTGACCGAATCAATCATTGCAATGCTAATTCTTGGGACGTTTTCTGAATTTCAGGAACCCTAGTTGTAAGAGCAACATAACAAGGATGACAAATATTGAGGGAAGCCGTGCTTCACAAAGGAGAATGGTGGACGGAGAAACAAGCAATGCAATTGAAAGGAGGCGAAAGTTGCAAGCCGATTTGGAGGGAATGCTTCAAAGGGTTGACGATTCTGATGCAGAGGGATACGTTTAGTCTGAATTGTAGTCTTCGATTGAAAGATTGAGGGAAGAGAGAACGACCAAGAAGAGGAAGTACCCCATAAGTAGTGAAAGTGAAGAAGGAGAGTTTGAGATTGGGGTAAACATTGGAAGAGAGGAGAGTGATGAGTCTGAAAGTGAAGAAGGAGAAGAGGTTAATCAAGAGATTGATGAGAGTAATCAAGATGAGCCAACGGAGGAGGCTGAGCCACAAGAAGTGGAGGATGAACTCCCCATGTTTGAAGAGCACTACAATGCTCTCTCTCTATGGACTTTGTGGAAACCAAGTACCCACATGACAAAACATGAAGGCACTTGGGATCTTCAAGGATGTGGAGTTAGAGCTTAAGAACATGCACTTGGCCAGTTCTTCTCTCATCGCATGGAATCATACAAGGAGCTCACTTGTGAGTTCTTGGCATCGATGAGGTACCACAAGTATGATGAGCTCGATCGAGCTGACTTGGACAAGGCTGGGGATGGATAACATTCTTGGCAAAGGAGAGAAGGAAGATGATCACCTTCAGGCAGCTTGAGATCTTGTTTGGCTTCCTATGGAGAAGGAACCCATTGGGATATCAAGGAGAATGAGCTCCAAAGTGTGTGGGCTACAATCGCTGAGGAAGGGTTCTCTTCTTCAAGGTCCAAGGCTGCTCATATAAGGAGTCATGTGCTGAGATATGTGCACAAGGCCCTTGCCAACACCTTCTTTGCAAGGAAGGCAACATGGACGATCAATGAAGGAGAAGTCAAGCTACTTGACATGGGGATTAAGCCCATCATCTCACGCACCATGGATGGGAAGAATGTCAGAGGAGATAGAGCACACGCAGAAACCTTATGCCCCTCCTCGATCAGCTACTCTCCTACAGCACCACAGCCTATAGCACTCGATTTTAACAAGGAAGAAGGCTAAGTGTTGGAGGGATCATCACACCTATCCTCTGCGCAGCTGGTGTACAACTAAACAAGAAGAAGGCAACTCCAGCTGGGTGGATGGACATCAAGTTTGCAAGACCAACACTGTAACACCCCCGACTCGATCTAACATAGACAAAGCCGGTGAGCGTCACAATTTGCCGAGGTTTGCTGGATAGGCCGTCCCGGACGAAGAACACATCACAGTCCAGGTCAGCCCGTCCCGCAGCTCGACCCTCTTGGCCACGGCCTAAGGATTTTCAACCCGTACCAAAGCCGAGAGTTGTGTTAGCCCGGACAAAGCTAATATCAGATGAAACCAGTTGATATAGAAAATAAACTTTATTAATCTATATAAGGTTTCACAAAACATCGGAAATACATCACATTCGAGCCTAATGCCCAAAACCCACACTACATAAATTCAAAAGCGTTTATTTTACAAAGGCAAGACAAACTACGCTGGCGGCCTAACGTCCTTGCTCCAACTACTGGTTTCCTGCAAAAGAGAGTGGGGGGTGAGCGCTAATCGCTCAGTGAGTTGTAGCTCCCACTAACAAGCAATAATAATCCCAACCCAAAAACCCAAAATAACACACAACAAGCAATGTTGCTATAACCCCTAGACTGACCACACAACAATCAAACAAGAACATGCACGATCAATCAGAGATTATAAACAACAACAATCAATCAATGCTCAAACATGCAATAAATAAACTTAACATCACACTCAACCACTTTCTCTTTTGCGCGTTCGGTACTTCCCGTGAACACCTATCTCACAGCCACACAGGCACGCGAGATAGAACATCACTACCCGAGTTCCATCTCCCAGACAGTCACATCCCGTTGGATTGCCGTTTCCACGGTTCACAACCCAAACGAGTTCTGTCTCCCAGATGGTCACATCCCGGGCTGTCTATTCCATACTCGGCCATAGGCAGCAACCCCGTCTCTCCGAGTATTCTCATTAGTCAATCCATTGACTACATGAGGTGGAATAGTACTCGGCCATAGGCTGCTATCCCGTCTCTCCGAGTCTTCCCACCTAGCCAGTCCATTTGCTAGGAAGGGGTACCAAAGAAGACCGAACCGCCAACATCAACATCAAACAAGTAACCATGTAACCTCACATGTAATATAATAACAATAAACAAGATCTAACAAACAAGCAAGCATCATAACAAACAACATCAAACATAGAACAATCAAACAATCAAACAATCAAATCAAATCAATCAAACAAATCAACCAAATCAAACCAATCACACAATCTAGCAATCATTCCCTAACAAGCAATCAAACATCACCACAACTCACAATCAAAGTGCTTTCGGCTGAATGGTTTCTAACTTAGGTTTACTACTCTGGGTTTACCGCTAAACCGCCGGCTTGCCCTAAGCTTCTGCCCAACGCTCCCTCTCTTCTTCTTCTTCTTCTTCTCTTTCTTCTTCTTCTCCTCCTCCTCCTCTTTCTTCTTCTGCTTCTTCTGGGCGTCCTCCCTCTCACTCTCTTTCTCTCTCTATTTTCTCTCTCTTTCTTTCTGATTTTTGGTGTGGTTTGGAAATGAGGCTAAAGGCTCCTATTTATAGGCTTGGAGGGAAGCTGGTGGTGGATCTCCTTGCTTCAGGACGTGACACCTCTCCTTTACATGCAACCAATGGCGTGAAGACATTCCTCCAGCAGCTTGGACCAATCCCTATCCTTCCATGACAATGGCACCTTCCCATTGGTCCATTTTCTAAGCTGCTGGGTAGCTGCAATGATTGGTCTATTCAAGATGACCATCTCCTCCTTGATCCTATCTTCCTGGAATGAGTGGCTTCATCCCATTGGCTCCTTCCTCAAGTTGCTGGGTGTTAGACATGATTCGTCCAACACATTTTCGTCCATTATGAGCAGCTGAGTGCTCACACTTGATTGGTCCAGCACAATTTCGTCCTATGTAGCTGCTGGTGTCGCCTCCTTACTGGTTTAGACTATTCTTATCATCTCCAAGTAGCTGGTGTTGTCATCCCATTGCTCCATCCGCCTCTTTCCTTTCGAGGAGGGTTTCTACGTTTCCTCTTTTCCGGAGGGTTTCGTCCCCGTCGTGCTTGAGAATTAAAATTTCCTATTTTAATCCTTTCGTCAGTTCCATGCTTTTGAGCTTTTACTTAGCTGCTCGGAAATGTCCGGAAATTCCTTATCCCGGTCATACCGTTCTTGAAACAGCTTTATCTTCTCTTCGTCTTCAGAGTTGATCATCCCATCCGGACCATTGGGATTGGGATTGTGCGGGAATAATTCAGCTCTGATGTGGGATATTATAAACACCCTCATCGATCACAAGGAGTTGAGTAGGAAATATCAATTCCTATTCAAACATTCCATGGCTGGTGCTTCCAAGATGCTCCTGCCCAACCCTGAACTCACCACAGTCATCAGGGGCGAGAACATTGACTTTCGCCCTCCACTTCACACGTTAGTTGGGCATGAGGATGAACCCCTCTGTTGTGGCTGCCCACAAGAGGATTGGACTTCTCCAAAAGTTCAACAAATGGCAAGGGAAAGCCATTGAGAAGATGCAAAAGTCCATGGACAAGATGGTGAGCAAGATCAAAAGTTTGGAGAAGAAGGTTTCTGGTTCTTCAAGCAAGAAGAAGAAGTCCCCAAGGCTCCCTTCCCTAGGAGTAGATCTCTCCTCACCACTCCAAGGAGGCTCCCTGCCCAAGAGCCTCACAGAGCCTCTCTTTCGAGCCAAGGGAAGGAGGACACAGAGAAGGAGGAAGAGTTCCAAGGCCAGACGCTCCAGCTCGACCACCGGACTCGATCGAGTCCAACAGAGGAAACTCAACTCGATCGAGCTGAGGTCGAGTTGACCTGGAGGAGCCAGTTTTGGATTTGATACGATCCAGCACCTTACCAGGACTTCCCCAGAGCAGAGAACCCATACGGCGTTCGAGCTAGCCAGCTCCACCAAGGCCAAGGAGCCACACCCACTTTGAGGATAAGAAGAAGAGGAGCCGCAAGCTCGATCGAGTGAGGAGGTCGAGTGGAGTGCTCCTGATGGCCGTCTCCCTCTCCAGACCACGACCTTGCTCCCAGTTCTTTGGGGGGCACTGAGGTATCCAAACACACACCCTTGTAATACCATTTCATTTTCTTGCATTTGTTCTTTTTTTCTTGGTTTTGCCCTCTTGAATCTTTCACTGAATTTCTCTCACACAAGGGACTGTGTGATTTAAGTTTGGGGGAGGGTTCAAGAGATGATTTAACCTTGTTTTCTTTGTTCTTAGTTTTTCATTCATCTTTTGCATAGAAAAACCAAAAAAATCATAAAATTTTCAAAAAATCCAAAAATATTTTCATCTTTTTGCATTCATATTTGTTAGACTTGTTTAGGATTGCATCTTTTCACTTGCATTGTTGATTTGACTTTGAAAACTTGTTCATCATTTGCGATTTCTTGAGTGCCCTGTTTTTAGATTCTTTTGTGCATTAGGGTGAGATTGATTGAGCAGCAAGAACCATGTTTATCTTGATCATATCACTGCATGCACATCTCATTCAACCATTGCTGTGATTTGATGCATTTCCCTATCTATTTGAACCATAACTTGATCTTTAATTACCAATGCTTGCATTTGATTTCAACTCATGGCTACCACATACATATCTGGACATTCTTTACCTATTTTCATATCCCTCTTGCTTGTCCAGATAGCTGATCTCCATCTTTGAGACAGTTACCACACCTTAAACCTAAGCCTTTTTCATTTCAAACCCCTTATTATCTCTTGTGCGAATTGTGAGAACCTTTCTTGGCTTTGCTTAGCATAAGGTGTTGTGTTTAAACCGGCAGGGGCAGTAGTTCTAGTTATCTAGTCCTCTTGGGTTTAGGGTTTAGGGAAATAAGGGGAGGTTTGAAATGAAAAAGACCCTCTAAACCCTAAACCCTAAACCCCAAACACTCAAAAAAGACCCTCTTTGTCTCTTAACCCATAAACCCTTAAACCAAATGAGTTGATTGATCTTGCATGTTTTTGGTTCACTTTTACTTAATAAATGTTAAAGGGATTTGCTGATTTGAATGCATTGTTTGAGTGACTGTGAAGTGGGATTGATGTTGATAAGCATGGTTAAAATCTTAATGAATATCTCTCACCTTGTTGCATTCTAGAATCTCTAAGTTGGACATTTAGCAAATCGCTTTTGAGGACATGTTTTTAAGGTTGAATCAACTTGTTTTCAAACCTCATCTCTTTCTTGTTCTATTTGTTTGCTTGAGGGCAAGCAAAGGTCAAGTTTGGGGGTGTTGATGTACTTGCATTTTGCATAGTTTTAGTACATCTTTTATGCATCTTTTGCATAGTTTTAGCATCCATTAGCATCATATCTTGTTCCTTTTCCCTTCTTATGCATTCATAGTAGTTTTAGGTTGCATTTGCATACATGTGCATGTTTGATCCTTGAATAGGTCTTTTTGGAGCACTTTGGAGCAATTGGGACGTGAGGAGCAAGGAAGGACTTGGTGCATGGATTCAGCTCAACCGCACAAGCTTAGGATGAAGAAGGAAGCCATCTTGAAGTCAGCTCGACCCATCTACTCGACCAACCGGTCGAGTTCCTCAACTCGACCGGCCAAGTTCAACTCGATCGAGCTGCGAGTCAATGGTCAAACCCGAAAAATGTTGCTTCCCCTTTGACTCCCCTTTGACCCTAAACCTAATCCTTCTTGTATTTAAAGGCTTGTGCCACGAAAAAGACAACAATCTTTAGCTTATTTTCGTTTTAGCTTTTCTTTAATTTGTATTTACTTTTTGCAAAACCTAAGCCTCTCTTTGTGTTCTTGAGCTCTTGCTCTTGAACCTTAGATCTAGGCCTTATCTTTCTGTATTTGCACTTGCTTATTTCAATAAAAGTTCTTTAGTTTCATTCCCTCTTTCATATTATGTCTCTTTCATTGCATTTGATTGTGTATTTCATCATGTGTAGTGAGTAGTTATCCTTAGGGTCAAGATGGGCTAGACTAGAGGATCCTTATGCTTAATCTCTTTTGCTTTATGTTCTTAATCTAGAAATCTCTCTCTTTTGGACAAGCCTTAAGGCTACATGACCACTACCCTGGCATGTATGAGTCTAGGCGATTTTCCTCATGGGAAGTGTTGGGAAATCGCTTGAAAAGGTCCACTAAGAGCTCCAATATGCTTGCTCTCGAAATGGAGTTTATAGGTGTTGGATGGGTTAGTTTGAGCAATGATCCTACTGCCTCTAAGGCTTGATTCTCACTGGCTAACCCCCTGTTTCTGAGATCTTGCCTTAGATGATAGCTTTCACCTTGGGAAAGGGTTAGCTAGGCTTGAGAAGCTCAATACCAAGAGATAGCTTGAGTACAAGTGGTTAATGAGCAAGATTGATTAAGTATAGTCTTCCCCTAGTCGCAAGACCCTGTCTTAGACCCTAGCCTTCGCATTATCGTATTAAAGTTCGCATCTTTATCGCTTTTCCTCTGTTTTTACGCTAACTCGACCCTCAACTCGATCGAGCTCAGTTACTCTGTTTCCACTCGATCGAGCCCTTGGTCGAGCTGCTTTCATTTACTGCTTTCTTTTACTTTCTGCATTGCATTTCATTTCATTAGGTTGCTAGAGTTACTTCCATCATCTTTACTGTCTGCTTGACTTCCTTGTGTTTGCATATTCATAGAGTAGCAACAAACCCTTATGGATTGATAACCTCTTATACTACATCGACTATGATGGTTAAGAGGAATTGATTGATTGTGATTGCACCATACCATCTCATCTTTATTCACCACTGTTTGCATTCCACCTCATATCACTTACATCATTTCATATCATCTCATATCACCACACACAAATCCTATCATCAATTTTTGCATTCCACGCTGACCGCACCATTTTTTTTTTTGTTTTTTTGAAACTAAAGAACTTTTATTGAAATAAGCAAGTGCAAATACAGAAAGATAAGGCCTAGATCTAAGGTTCAAGAGCAAAAGCTCAAGAACACAAAGAGAGGCTTAGGTTTTGCAAAAAGTAAAAATACAATTAAGGAAAGCTAAAACGAATATAAGCTAAAGATTGTTGTCTTTTTCGTGGCCACAAGCCTTTAAATACAAGAAGGATTAGGTTTAGGGTCAAAGGGGAGTCAAAGGGGAAGCAACATTTTTCGGGTTTGACCATTGACTCCGCAGCTCGATCGAGTTGGAACTTGGCCGGTCGAGTTGAGGAACTCGACTGGTTGGTCGAATAGATAGGTCGAGCTGACTTCAAGACGGCTTCCTTCTTCATCCTAAGCTTGTGCGGTTGAGCTGAATCCATGCACCAAGTCCTTCCTTGCTCCTCACGTCCCAATTGCTCCAAAGTGCCCCAAAAAGACCTATTCAAGGATCAAACATGCACATGTATGCAAATGCAACCTAAAACTACTATGAATGCATAAGAAGGGAAAAGAACAAGATATGATGCTAATGGATGCTAAAACTATGCAAAAGATGCATAAAAGATGTACTAAAACTATGCAAAATGCAAGTACATCAACGAGCTCTGGTAAATAGAGTCAAAAGCCACAGATACTTCTGGCCAACAATGTTAGCCGATTGCGGGCAACTACGCAGGAAAATGCGAAAAATGTCAAAAGCATGCACCCATAAATCATCAGCCCGCCTAACTACTATCCTCGGTCTCATCTCCGTATCGTTTCATGAGATGGGCCATGGATATAGTGGGACCGATGACGCCATTCGGAAAAAAACATCACCAATACTTGCTCGTAGTAACCGACTACTTCATGAAATGGGTAGAAGCCAAAGCCTACCCAAAAATCGAAGCAGTCGATGTAACCGACTTTATCTGGACCGAAATCCTTTGCAGACACGGGATCCCGCACGAGATTGTAACTGATAATGGGCCCCAGTTCACATCGAGATCCTTCAAAAGGTTCTATAAGAAGTACAAAATAAAATTGACCCATTCCACACCGCGATACCCGCAAGGAAATGGCCAAGCAGAAGCGACGAAACCGTCATGAACAACATCAAGAAACGCCTTGACTCACGAAAAGAAATGTGGTCTTACGAGATCAACATAGTCCTGTGGGCATGCCGCACAAGGCCGCATAAAGTGAAAACAAAAACAAAACAAAAAAACTCCATTCTCAATGACATACGGCATCGAAGCTGTAGTCCCAGCGGATATCAAAGTTACGAGCCTTCGAAGAGACCACTGTCCCGACAGCCCAGAACTCAACGAAGAGATGCTAAGGGACAGACTGGACTTAATCGAAGAAAAGCGAGATCAAGCTCTGGTCCGCATCCAGAACGATCAAGACGCCGCAGCTCGCTACTACAACTCCAACGTAAAACCGCGAAGATTCAAAGTTGACGACCTAGTCTTACGAAAAATCTTTGACGACAAAGATCCAGGGGGAAAACTCCGACCACCCTGGAACGGCCCCTTCCGTATAACAGAAGTAGTACGCGACAGCGTCTACAAGCTCTATGATTACGTGAAGAAGGTACACGAACCGCGTCCCTGGAACGCAGCCAACTTAAAACGATACTACTAAGTAAAACAATCGAACTACGTAAAGGCTTGATCGCCCGACGGGGTACATAGGCAGCTCACACTCGAGTTCAGCCGCCCTCCTATCCAAAAAACATTCATTCCACGAGCAGAAGCCCTTCACCTTCCGCACCTCGCCTCTTTTCTGTTGTTCTTAACCAACTTCGTCTATTCAGTAAAAACACGAATTTTTATTACTTTTCGATTCATTATGTCCACGGAAATAGTTAACTTATCTCGACGACCTAAACGTAAGAACAAACCTTGCTCTGTTGATTATAATGAGTCAGCAACCTCTCAGCTTGGTGGAAAAACAACACTCTGCTACGTAAAGGCTTGATCGCCCGACGGGGTACATAGGCAGCTCACACTCGAGTTCAGCCGCCCTCCTATCCAAAAAACATTCATTCCACGAGCAGAAGCCCTTCACCTTCCGCACCTCGCCTCTTTTCTGTTGTTCTTAACCAACTTCGTCTATTCAGTAAAAACACGAATTTTTATTACTTTTCGATTCATTATGTCCACGGAAATAGTTAACTTATCTCGACGACCTAAACGTAAGAACAAACCTTGCTCTGTTGATTATAATGAGTCAGCAACCTCTCAGCTTGGTGGAAAAACAACACTCTGCTACGTAAAGGCTTGATCGCCCGACGGGGTACATAGGCAGCTCACACTCGAGTTCAGCCGCCCTCCTATCCAAAAAACATTCATTCCACGAGCAGAAGCCCTTCACCTTCCGCACCTCGCCTCTTTTCTGTTGTTCTTAACCAACTTCGTCTATTCAATAAAAACACAAATTTTTATTACTTTTCGATTCATTATGTCCACGCAAATAGTTAACTTAGCTCGACGACCTAAACGTAAGAACAAACCTTGCTCTGTTGATTATAATGAGTCAGCAACCTCTCAGCTTGGTGGAAAAACAACACTCTGTTTGAAAGCGGGCACTCATATATTTGCAGTTTACGTTTATGGTATGACTGATTACTCTTTTTTACGAAATTTGAAAGCATAATTTGTGGGTTCAGTTCAGAATTGGAGATTCACCACTATGCAGATGCTGCAGAAGTATACTCAGGATATCCTTGATCACTGTGAGTTCTTATCCAGTCAAGCACATCATTTTCGTAATGTTCTTGAATCTTGAGTAATTTTGCTTGATGTTCTCAAGCGCAACAGATTGCTACTTATACCACTAGCTTGGTTGAGATTTTGTGATTCTTGTTTTAGTGTGAGAGTCAAAGAAGCTTGTAAATATGGCTGTAACTCTGCTAACATTAGGGTAAGAAAGAGAGCAAGTAACCATTCCTATGGGTATTAGATTTGCCAATCTAGTCATATTATTTTGTAGGAACCACATTCGGATGGTAGGCCATTAGCTGAGTTTGACTAAATCATGGCTTTAAGGATTAACTTGTTCAAACTCGGTGACGATCTATACATTGTTCAGGTTAAGGGGCTTACAACTGCAGCGAGAAATGATCTGGTGCTTGCACTTCCGGCCAGGATTGACCATACCTGATGGGACAGCTGGTGGTCCTAAAAACACTTTGGTTGGTCTGATCGGGAAGCCTCATCTGATCAAAGAGAGGAAGCATGTGAGCAGCCGTCTTGCATGGAAGGAGGTTCTTGAGAAGTATTCATTCCCTGGTGGCCTGGTTAAAGATGATGTTCTTGTTGTTGGTTGAGTCATGTGCTGTGTTTTCAAGCGAGGTTTAATAAAGAAAGTGGAACGATATGCCTCCTCTTAATATTATCTATGTGTTTTGTATCTACTGTATTTCGAAGCTCTCTTTGCAAGACTTTTCAATTAGAGGAACTTAAACATCTATCTTTTTCCCTGGTTTTGATTTTAATTTCACTTTCTAACAAAAATAATTGTAGCACTTGGAATGGGGGAAGTTACTCTTTTCTTAAGATAAAATTTGGCTATATGCATTAGGTGATCATATGGTTATGTATTTGCAAGTACAGTAGATAGCAAAGTGGCAAGTTGGATACTAAATCGTATTACAAACTAGGTAGGAGCCCGCGCAGTGCGCGGGACTGTGATTGTATATGGATTCTCTAAATGTGGTTTTAATGTTATTTATTTAGATTTTTTTTCAATTAAAATTTCTAAATTTATTTTCGTAAATTACTAAATTTTTGTAGATTCACAGCTAAATTACTAAAATATACAATATTTCATAAATATTTAGTGATTTGTTTGGCTGGTTTTGAAGTTGATTAACTCACTGTTACTATTACGTTTATTTATTTTAGAATTTTAATTAACTTTAACAAATTGGTAATAATGAAATTTTAATCTTATTTCTTTTTTTTCTGTGGACAATGCAAATATTTAGTATGATTAAACATCTTCTATATATATATATGGAGTTAGTGTTATTATTTTGTGTGAAATTCTAGCGAATCCATGTATGATCTAGTAATATCACATTCTAAATATTACATATGTATGATTTAATCAGTTGCATGTAGGTTTAATTTTATATTTGTGTTGTTGGACATCATTTGCATAGTAAAATATTAAATATTTCTATCTTGTTTTTCTTAAAGAAAAAAATGATTCATATATATTACATGAAAGATTTACATATGTATGTATGAATTGAATATAATTTAATTGTGTATTTTATATATGAAATAAATATTTGCATTACTATTCTATGAGAAAATTAAGTTTTATATTTTAATTAAATTTAATTTTCTTTTCTGTTAATTTTTTTTGCTTAGAATTTAATTAACTATTACAAATTGGTAGTTATGAGCATTTACTTTAATTAATTGTTTTTCTGAGGTTATGGGAGAAAATTTTTAAAATCAATGAGGTAATAATAATTCTTATTATTTTTTTGTGAAACTCAAATTGTAAATGTATGAATTAATTAATCTTATAATTTCGTTTTGCTAGATATCATTTAAATAGTAAAATATCAAATATTGTTATATTCTTTGTGTCTTAGAATAATATACATAAATATTTGTTTTTTTAAATCTCTGTGAAAAGAGTTTTCTATCTATGATTTAATTAATTTTATGTGGTGTTAATTGTATATTTTTATTTGACATCATTTGGATAGTAATATATCAAATTATTTACATAATTGTTTTGTTTAAGAAAATAGATTTATATATATTGCATCTACATATGTTTGTATGAATTAAATATTGTTTGATTGTTTAATTTATATTAAGTAAATATTTGCTTAATAAAAAAACTTAACTTGAAAAGTTATTGATGTTAAATTGAAAAAAAAAAAACTTATCAAAAATGTAGAGTGACACATGGCAGCCTGTCAGAAAGTGAGAAATAAAGTAGCCTTATAATATTAAAATAGATAGATAGATCGTATTACACTGATACTATAAACTATATATGATTCAATTGAAAATTTTTCAAATAGAAAAATCAAAAATTTGTAAAAAACAAGTTGGATACTAAATCGTATTACACTGATATCATAAACTATGATTAAAATTGAATTTAGTCAAAAATTTGTCAAACTATGAAACTATAATTTTATTTGAAACTATAATTCTTTTCAATGAATGAAATCATATTTTGTCGAAAAAAAAATTATTTGAAACTACCGAAAAAATAATTTATGTGAAACTATGATTTTATTTTCAGCCAATGTAAAATATTTTTTGTATTATATATAAGTAAACTTAATTAAAAAAAATTTTAAAACACTTAAGAAACTCTACCAATAATTGATGTGAAAACATATACTCCCTCCGTTTCAAATTAGTTGTCGTTTTGGGAAAATGTATCTGTAATTATTTGGATGTATCTGTAATGCAAAACACGTCCAGATACGTCCAAATATTTGCAGATACATTTTGCCAAAACGACAACTAATTTGAAACGAAGGGAGTATCTCTTAACAAGGTTTTTTAACTTAAATGTTTTGTTGTTATAATAATGTTAAGAGATGGATATTTACATTCTAAGCAAAAAGTAAAAATAAACAACATGTCTTGAAGATAATTGTCTTAATTAAGCCCATGTGCATTTGTGAATTATATTTTTCCCAAAACAATATCTTTCTACTAAACAAATAGTAATAGATCCGTTCACGCAATAAGAAAACAGCCGTCGAGCTAAATAGAAGTACGCAAAGGTGGATCTCATTCATCGCAATATAAATTTTGTTTGCTTGTATTGCTATTAACCACAATATATAAAATATAGATTGGAGTCCTGTTCCTATTCTCTCTTGTCTCTTTACTTTGAATTTCACTCAATTTCCACTCTCTCACACCAAAAAACACATTATTTAGCAAAAGAAGCAACATGAATATCATGATACACAAAATCTCTTTTCTACCTCTACATTTACTATTACTATTTATACTCTGCATCCATCTTCTTACCACCGTATCCGGCGGAAGTTCCACCAACATATCCGGCGGATATTCCACCACAGGCATTGACCGGTGGTGCGATCAAACTCCATACCCTGATCCATGCAAATGCTACTTCAAAAACCACAACGGATTTCAACTTCCCACACAACTATCCCAGTTCCGAGTAATGCTGGTGGAAGCGGCCATGGATCGGGCTATCTCCGCCCGCAACGAGCTGACTCGGTCCGGCGGGAACTATACTGATTGTCAGAAACAAGCCGTTTTGACCGACTGCATTGGCCTCTACGAAGACACTGTCATGCAGCTAAACCGGACGCTTCAGGGCTTGCCTCCGAAAGCAGCAGGTGCCGGAAAAAAGTGCACCGACTTTGACGCTCAGACCTGGCTGAGCACCGCCCTTACAAACACAGAGACTTGCCGACGTGGCTCATCAGATTTCAACGTCTCCGATTTCATCACACCAATAGTTTCAAACACCAAAATATCCCACTTAATAAGCGACTGCTTAGCCGTCAACGGAGCTCTCTTGACCACCATAAACAACGGCAACACCAACACAGCTGATCCTAATGGGAATGAGTTTCCGAGGTGGGTTTCCGGTAAAGAGAGAAGACTTCTGCAGTTGCAATCCGCCCGTGCTGTCAAAGCTAACATCGTGGTAGCGAAAGACGGATCGGGACAGTTCTCAACTGTACAAGCGGCAATTGACGTGGCGGGACGGAGAAAAGTGACGTCAGGGAGGTTCGTGATATACATAAAGAGAGGGATATATCAAGAAAACATAAACGTACGTCTCAATAACGATAACATAATGTTGGTCGGAGATGGAATGAGATCCACCATTATCACCGGTGGTCGTAGTGTCAAAGGTGGTTACACCACTTTCAATTCCGCCACTGCCGGTAAATAATTGATTCTTCTATATTTTATTTATTTCAGTTAATGCATGGATTGGATCTACAACAAGTTTCGCTGTCATTAATTTTCTCTGATAATAAATATTTTAATTTTCCGTAAATAATGAGTTTTTCAATCGATACATCGGGATCATTATCAATTATTTATAATTTATCACTATACAAAAATGCAAAGTAAACCGTTGCCTTTTTTCCCGCAAAATGAGTAAGCGTTACCATTTGAAATTTATATTTCATCATTTTTCTCGTTATGAAACATTTGTCAAATAGTTTCAGAAAATAAAAATAAAAAAATGATTTGGCTCTTTTCTAAAAAGAAAATGAAACATTTTGCTAAATTGCGTGTGATCCAGGTATCGAAGGACTTCACTTCATAGCCAAAGGCTTAACATTCCGAAACACGGCGGGTCCAGCCAAGGGCCAGGCCGTGGCACTCCGGTCATCCTCGGACCTCTCAATCTTCTACAAATGCTCAATCGAAGGATACCAAGACACACTACTGGTCCATTCCCAACGTCAGTTTTACCGTGACTGCTACATATACGGAACAGTAGATTTCATCTTCGGAAACGCAGCCGTGGTTTTCCAAAACTGTCTCATCCTCCCTCGCCGGCCACTCAAAGGTCAAGCCAATGTAATAACTGCACAAGGTCGTGCTGATCCATTTCAGAACACAGGGATATCTATCCATAACTCAAGAATCTTACCGGCTCCTGATCTAAGACCGGTGATAAGTAGCGTTAAGACGTATATGGGCAGGCCATGGATGAAGTACTCGCGCACAGTGGTTCTTCAGACGTATTTGGATAGTGTTGTGAGTCCGTTCGGGTGGTCGCCGTGGATTGAAGGTTCGGTTTTCGGTTTAGACACGCTGTTTTATGCCGAGTATAAGAATACCGGACCGGCTTCGTCCACGACGTGGCGTGTCCGTTGGAAAGGGTTTCATGTGTTGAATAGAGATTCCGATGCAACTGCTTTCACTGTTGGAAGATTCATCGCCGGTGCTGCGTGGCTCCCACGCACCGGCATACCTTTCACTTCCGGACTCTAAGGCCATCTCCGGTTTTTCTTCTTTCATCTTGCTTGTTTAAATTACAATGATGCTTATAAGTTATAATAATATCAATATACTTATAATGAAAATGAAGTTTTAGCTATAAATGGACAAGCGAGAATTTAGTACAAGATACTAAGCAAGATTGAACGGAACAACAATGATATTTCATTATCTTTATGCCCAAATGTGATCCTAATACACCAATCAAAAGTACATTCTCGTACGGATCAAGACGTTACTTTCGTCTATCTCTAGTGTCAAGAATTGCTTATCTGATATTTACTCAGATAAGAGGATATATCATAATATCATATATAATAATTGTAGAGATAATGTAGAAAAGACACATAAAAGAGAGCACGTTTAGTTACATTTGGAAATAGTTGAATTGAACAAAAGAACATGTTTTTGAAACCCAAGATAACCTATAACTACGAAAGAAACAATGATTTAGACACAAACAATGAAATCTAAAAGATCTGAGTAAATAACAAACAATCAATAAAATCAAAGAAAAGGAGAAAAAGTGAGCCCAACGGTTTCTTATGCAAAAAGTTTTAGCTATAAATGGACAAGCGAGAATTTAGTACAAGATACTAAGCAAGATTGAACGGAACAACAATGATATTTCATTATCTTTATGCCCAAATGTGATCCTAATACACCAATCAAAAGTACATTCTCGTACGGATCAAGACGTTACTTTCGTCTATCTCTAGTGTCAAGAATTGCTTATCTGATATTTACTCAGATAAGAGGATATATCATAATATCATATATAATAATTGTAGAGATAATGTAGAAAAGACACATAAAAGAGAGCACGTTTAGTTACATTTGGAAATAGTTGAATTGAACAAAAGAACATGTTTTTGAAACCCAAGATAACCTATAACTACGAAAGAAACAATGATTTAGACACAAACAATGAAATCTAAAAGATCTGAGTAAATAACAAACAATCAATAAAATCAAAGAAAAGGAGAAAAAGTGAGCCCAACGGTTTCTTATGCAAAAAGACTCAGCAAAAGGCTGAAACAGAGGCAAGCAAAACCATCGCCAAGCTGACGATTAGATTCAAATGGCCATTAAGTATTGATGTTGCGGAACTATGTTGTTCCCTGCAGGAAAATCACCAAAAGAAAGTGAGCGTCTTTCATATTTGCACATCATCTTAAAGGTAAATGAGAGAAGAGGAAGAGAAAGTAAAGTTTCTGTGTTGCTTACTTCTGCAAGGACTTGAGAGCACCACAGTAAAGAACATTTTCAGGCTGATCCATTTCTGTTTTACCGTTTTCCTCCGGGTTTACAACTTTCATGTATGTTTCTTGGCCAAGATACCATCTGTCCAGATTCTCGACTCGGATGTTCCAAACTCCGACGTTATCGAGGGACATAAGCACGGCAGTCCATGCCCCTGGGTAAACCTGAAGCAACCAATAAATAAATTAACATTTTAATTACCATCAAAGTGTGTGTACCGAGAGACGGATTGCAGAATGTGAATCAAAACCTCGATCGTGCTTCGTGATACTGCGGTCCCAGTTGTTATATGAACCTTTTCTGTCTTCAGTCCAGGTACCAAAATCCATCGTGGAATTATCAGATTTTGAAAAATTTATGTCAGAGCAGCTTAAAAGATAGAAAATGTATAATTAATATACAGAGTGGCATGATTTTTCTTACGCAACGACGTAAACCGAATATCCATCAATATGAAAGCTCTGGACTTTTGTGTCATTGTTCTGGAAGATAACTTGAATAAAGCCCTTGTATGTTGCGTTGATGATAGATCTGTCCAAACGTGGAGGTTTATCTTCAAGAGGTCTATTTGGAAAATCAAGCTTGTAGAGTCCTTTCACGTTATGTTTATCCGCAAGCCTAAAGGGCGTGCTTGGATTCAGAAATGAAATCCCATTAAGTGTAGCACGAAGTGTCCCATTGATTTTTGTTGGAGGCATACTCCTCAAGATGTATGTGTCTGTGATATTTATCTGTCCGTAGTGATATGACCCCTGTGGATTTGGACGAGCTCCAGCTGCAGATGTGTTTTGCCTGCAAATAAAGCAAAGAAAAAAAAGAGAGTCAGGGTTTAATACATGCCTACTGGTTAAAACATCACCTTGGTTGAAGAGTTTTGTAGACATACTTTATGAACCTTTGTTGATTCATTACAGTCCACGGGTGAGAAACATCAGTAGCTGGAACTGGCAAAGCACCCGAAGCAGGTCCTTTGGAATTTGAGTAATGGAGGATGCTAACACCTGTGACTCTTTGCCACTCTGTTTCATACACAAATCTAGCACTAGCCACAATGTAGTAGTCACTTGATGCGTTTTGGTCCATGGTGACCAAGAAAGAGTAAGACTGTCCCACATGAACATCAAAATCGGTGAAGTTTGTTTGGGAGGTGTAGCGACCTTCAGTTTCAACTAAGAGCAATTTGTGGTTCTGAATCCTGAAGTTCAAGCTTGTCGAGATACCAACATTGTGAACGCGGATCCTGTATGTTTTCCCTGCAAAGATGGAACAAATCTCACGGCCAACTTTGAATTCCAAAGCAACAATCTCATAAACCGCACAAATAACTGAAACTGGAAATCCAACGCACACAACTCCTCAAAGGTATTCGATTAGGATGCAAATGAAAACATAATGTAAGCAATGGTACAGTAGAGCTCTCAAATATGTTACCTGGATCAACATTAACGGTTTCATATTGAATTTCCTCAGGTACACTGCTATTGTATTTGTAAGGACCCTTCCCATTGATGAGCACTCCATCAGGCATCCCAAGTTCTTTACCAGAGTCGAGTATACTCCTTAATGCCTGAAAAGCAACAAGTTTTCGCAGATTAACACAATGTACCTTATAGTCAAAAGCCAATAAACACCATTTTTAGTCCCCCAGCCCCAAGTGCACTTACTGTATGGTTCTGAGTATACCAATCACCAATCATTAAGCTGATTTCACCATCAGGCTTAGGGAAAGGGATAGGAATATTTTCACGGTTATTGATTACGATTGGACCAAAACCGCCAGAAGCTCGTCGGATATTAAGTGAAGGGAAGTAGTAAAAACTTCCAATCTGATCTTTCAATTGAAAATCATAAGTGAAGTTCCATTTCAGAGGAAGTGGACAGTTTGTGCCAAGAACACCATCTTGCCACGAGTTACGACGCATTTCAATGCCAGGCCTATCAGAATGTGAAGCCTCAAATCTTTAGTATTGAGTCAGAACAAAAGAAGTTTAAAAAATATATATATTTCTTGAAACTAAGTGATAAGGATGTTAAAAGATCATCACCAAGTGAGTAAGAGAGGCTCATCCAAGCGATTGTATACGTTAACTTCAAGATTGTAGTTTGTGGTAGCAGTAATGACAGGGCCTGGAAATTTCCCATTGACGGCTATAACCTGCAAAGCAACAAATTCGATTCATATATGGTTAAAACAGTGTATGCAACACCGAAGCTAGTCCACAGATTTCAGTAACCCCGTTTCACAAACCCCAATCAACATTTAGAGATAAGAACAAGACGTATTGATTCAGTGGCATCTATACTTAACAAAGCAAATTATCACTCTCAAAAACCCAGTGTAACCACTTTCGACGAACCGTATGTTAGATCTAGAAGAGAAAAAGCAACAACAGAGGTACGACTCTGAGAAAAATCGAGGACACGAAATCACTACAAAAACGCCTACTAAGATCGGATTACAGCGAGAAGTTGCATTTTAGGGAAAATAAACCCTGAAAACGAGATTTCACAGGGAAAAAAAGGAAGAAACGAAACCTGTTGAGGAACGCCTAGAGGAGAAGCAGTGATATAAGAGACTTCGAAAATGTAGGAGACGAAAGGATCTCCAGCGAGAGTGAAGCCAGAGAGAAGAGCGAAGGAGAATACGAAAGCGAAAACAGAAAACCGCGAGAAAAAATCAGCCGCCGCCATTTTTTTGCTTGAGGAAAGAGGATTTTTCGCTTCTCCTTCGTTGATCTTCCGCTTACGAAATCGACATTATGGAGGCAAAAATCAAAACGATTGGAGAAGGAAACGGAGGAAAAAGGGAAGATGAAGAGTGTGCAAAGTGTGTGTGGGGGGGGTTTTTGAAACTCCTCTGACAAAGAGGTGTGGAAGAAGAAAATGAGGATTTTATTTAAGTGATAAAAAGGAAAGAGGATTTTCGGATTTTGGTAATCCCTAAACGCGTTGAAATTACTGGTTACGGTGCTAACCGGTTCGTCTATAACTAATTTGGATACTGATTTATTGGTTTTGTAAGAAGTTAATGATTCGTGTCTATATAATAAGTGGATGTGAATTAGATACCTCATTAATTATAACCACAAGGATTGTCATTGATTTTTAGTTTTTTACTAGGAATAGGAATGGAACCCTGCGCACGAGTTGTAATGAGAGATTATTTTGAAATCCCTAATATATTAAAAGAGAAAGTAACCTTTTAGTTGATGTGTTATTAATAAATACACAGAGATCATCAACGCCGCATACATTTCCAATACAGTCGGCTTTCAGGCGAGTTCTCGGAGATTTGACAAATACACAGAGATTATCACCAGTTTCTACCATCACACAGAGTCAAACGCAACCAACATTGTCCGTTCCCACGCAGAATACATTATCGAGTAAGCATTTATCCATACAAAGCTCAACGAAACTGAAATGATGCCTGATTTAAGTGATGATGGTTGCATTAGTAACCATAAACCCCACAACTAGCTGATAGAATATTCATACTCAGAGAAACGACATGATCTACATATCAATGTTGGAGGGGAGAAAGAGAATGATAAGACAAAACTCAACTCTATCAAACGTCCGGCTACACAAGATAAATCAATATTAAGTCTCTTCGGTTTGCAATTATAGTGTTGTGATGCTTAAGTAATGTCTCATTCAACTTTTGTTTAGGGAAACGAACAAAAATATCATGTGTTCCACAATCAACGGTTAAGGCATCACCGGGATCTGTTGTACAATCAACTCAACCTTCAACAAATCGCCAGCCACTTCCTCCAGAAAAATGTTCGAGAGGTAAGAATATAATCAAATCAAATACTTATCATGATACAGTTATGCTAACCAACAAGTGATTAAATTGATGTAGATTCAAGAAGAAAACCAACTACCAAGGCCCAATATACGAGAAGCCAGAAAGCCCAGAAGAATGGTTTGTACAACTTACGATTTTTATCACTATTAATTCATAAATTTGTCGAGCCTATAAGTCTCGCGTGTATAAAATGACTGCATTCATTTTTGATCTACCAACGCTAGATGGAAAGGCGAGACTCAATGCAAGACTCGGGATTGACGACCCCAATACATTGCAAAGCTTATTATTTGATGAAGGTCAGAGTCCCATTAATACCAACTATTAGTACTTACTATCACACGTTTTTTAATGACCATATATATTGATGGTTGGAGAATCTTCAACAGGTGATGAAGATTTATTCTTTCCAGGAATACGATTGCTCTGAAAATGATGATACATGCTCAGAGTCAAGCGAAGATCATCAAAATACAGCAGAAGAAGCCGCACGTTTGAAAGAATTCCTGACTTTTGATATTCAGAAGATTTTGAGAAACCAACACAATCTCCAGAAAGGAAAAGAAAAGTGTAACGAGATGAACGTCACAACAGAAGAAAAGAAACTAGGTGAGTGTGTTACATAATTTGACAAATATGTATCACAACACAAGTATATTATTACTTAACACGTGTCATTATTATTACAGAGTATTTGGATCACGGTGACCCAACGTATAGTTGTGACAAATGTGGTGCTATTTTCTGGTATGATGAGCGCCTTGATAAAAGAAGGAAGTCGAAAAATCCAAAGTTCTCTATGTGTTGCCTTGGCGGAACAATCAAGTTACCCTTACTAAAGACTCCGCCGAAAGTCTTAATGGATTTGCTGAAGGGAACTGACGAAAAGAGCCGCCATTTTCGCGACAATATAAGGGCTTATAACATGCTTTTTGCGTTTACCTCTCTTGGGGTCAAGTCAATAAATGTATACCAAACGGACGGGGCCTATGATGTTTCAGATTCATGGACAAAACTACCATCTGATGGGAAGTTTGAGACCAGAGGAAGGCGACTATCCAAAATTCTCACAATTATATATTGTTGACACTGAAAATGAAGTTGAGAACAGAGCTACGGTTATGAGGTAATATTTTTAAAATTATTACATTAAAAGTAAATGGTTACCATCGCTGATATATGACATCTATCCTTTGTAGCAAGGGAAAGAATGCCCAAACAGCAAAGAAAAAGAATGAGTTCAGAAATAAGATCATTGAAGAGTTGATGTACATGTTAAGAGAAGTAAATCCGTATGTAGAAGTGTTCCGGATGGCGAAAGATAGAATTGAAGCGAATGGAGCAGAACCATTCCACATGAGGATTATAAGGGATCGTCCTGGAAAGGATGCTAGGACCTACAATACTCCCACTGCTTCGGAGGTTGCAGCTTTGATTCCAGGTGATTTTCATTTGGAAATGCCAGAACGTGACATCATTTTAGAAGAGAAACCCACTGGAAAGCTTCAGCGCATCAGTGAAATTCATACATCTTATCTAGCATTGCAATATCCTTTGGTGTTTCCATACGGTGAGGATGGATTCAGAATAAGACAGAGAAGGTATTCACAGGACTCCAAGGGGGAACCCCCAAGCAAAAGCAGAGTATGAGACAGTTCTTTGCATATCGCATTATGGAAAGGCTAAACGAAAGCCAGACGCTGCTACTATCTAAGCGATTGTTTCAGCAATTCTTGTGCGATGCATTCACCATGATTGAATCCAACAGGCTCTCTTTTATCAAATACAACCAGTCCAAGCTCAGATCAATGGATCACGATTCCCTTAAGGCAATGTTAAACGAAGGTTCAAAAGATATGGGGGAGCAAGGAAACAAAATTCTTCTTCCAGCTTCTTTTGTCGGTGGACCGAGGTATATGCAGCAGCAGTATTACGATGCTATGGCTACGTGCAAGCACTTTGGATTCCCTGACTTATTCATTACCTTCACATGTAATCCCAAATGGCCTCGAGATCACCAGATTTCTAAAGAAGAGGAACTTAGTCGTCGATGACAGACCAGATATTGTTTGCCGAGTTTTCAAAATGAAGTTAGATTCTCTAATGAGAGATTTAACAGAAGGAAATCACTTTGGGAAAACATCTCAGGTATTACATATTCGACCCTTTTTATCTTATATTATGTTAAAGATTATATATTGAATTTATTTCATATTGTAAAAAGTTGTTACTTTAGAATCTGAATAATGTATTGATTTAACTTTTTCATGCTTCGACAGCTATGTACACAGTTGAATTTCAGAAGAGAGGATTGCCACATGCCCACATTCTTCTTTTCATGCATCCAAGCTGTAAATTTCCAACTGCTGAGAGCATCGACAAGATCATCTGCGCCGAGATACCGGATCAGGTTTGGAGAAAGAGCTATACGATGTCGTCAAGGATTGTATGATACATGGACCGTGTGGGGCTGTAAACACAAAATCACCATGCATGGTCAACGGAAAATGCTCTAAATTCTTTCCCAAGAGTTACGTCGAGAACACTACGGTTGACAAAGATGGATATCCTGTATACAGGAGAAGAGATACCGGAGCATTTGTTGAGAAGAATGGTTTCAAGTGTGACAACAGATACGTGGTGCCATATAACAAGGAACTATCTGTTCGTTATAAATCTCACATAAATGTTGAGTGGTGCAACCAATCTGGGTCCATAAAGTATTTATTCAAGTATATCAACAAAGGTCAGGATCATCTTACTGTTGCAGTTGAACCTCCAGAAAATAGTCAGCACAGAGCAAGATACGAACAAAGACAACGATGATCCTGAGAAGCCGAAGAATGAGATCAAAGATTTTTTCGATTGCAGGTATATTCAAGATGATTCTAAAAGTATTCCACGTTTTAACTGTTTCCAATTGTAACTCAATTTAAACTTTACTAATACTACCTTTTTTTTTTACAATAGATATGTCTCAGCCTCCGAGGCGGTTTGGCGGATTCTAAATTTCCAATGCACTGGAGATCAACACCTGTTGAGAAGTTAGCTTTCCATCTCGAAGGCAAACAACTCCTCTATTTTAAAGCAGATGATGATGTCCAAACTATTTTGAGTCGCAAATCCGCTGAGATCTCTCAAATGATCGCGTGGTTTAGATTGAACGAGACAAATGAGTTTGCAAGAACACTGACATTTGCACAGATCCCTAACTACTTCACTTACAACAAGAAAGATCGGGAATTTAGACCAAGGAAACAGGCGGGTTTTAGTATCGGAAGAATCAATTACGTGCCGCGCAAGATAGAAGAGGGTTATTATCTCCGAGTCCTTCTTAATATTGTAACGGGTCCCAGATCGTTTGAAGAGATCAGAACCTACCGAGGTGTCGTTTATGAAAAGTTTAAGGAAGCATGCTATGCAAGAGGACTGCTAGATGATGATGAGGTGTGGGTTGATAGTATCAAAAGTGCAAGCGAATGGTGTTTCGGTGATCATCTTCGAAATCTTTTTGCGGTTATGCTTGCCAGTGATTGCTTTACAACACCGGAGGATGTTTGGGAAAGAACATGGCACATCCTAGCGGAAGACATGGAGGAGAAGAAGAGGATTGAAAATGAAAATCCAGGTAATATATCGTCCAAACATAATAATTTCAATATCAGATGCACCTGTTGTTTTAAAACATGCACGCCTAAGATATTCCGTGTATTTCTTTGTAGCTCTTATTCTGGACGAGAAACAGAAGAGGAATTTCGTTCTTCAGGAGATTCAAATGGTGATGTTAAGGAATGGGACATCGTTGTCTAATTATACATCAATGCCCCAACCACAGAAAGATGACTTCGCCTATTCAAATCGATTGTTAACTGACGAGCTAAGCTACGACAAAGACTTGCTGAAGGTTAAACATGATGAATGGATAAAGATGATGACTACCGAGCAGAAGGGTGTTTACGATGAGATCACTGGAGCGGTCTTGGATAAAAAGGGAGGAATATTTTTCGTTTATGGTTTCGGAGGGACGGGCAAAACATTCATGTGGAAAACACTATCAGCTGCTATACGATCTAGAGGGGAGATTGTTCTGAACGTTGCTTCTAGCGGGATAGCTTCTTTGTTGTTAGAAGGTGGACGTACTGCTCATTCAAGGTTTGCCATTCCAATAAATCCTGATGATTTCACAATGTGTAAATTCGCACCAGGCTCCGATCTTGGGAATCTTGCTAAGCAAGCATCGCTTATTATTTGGGATGAAGCGCCTATGATGAGCAAGTATTGTTTCGAGGCTCTGGATAGGTCTTTACGAGACGTTATTGGTAATGTTGACAACAAGCCTTTTGTGGGGAAGGTTGTAGTATTTGGTGGTGATTTTCAGACAAGTTCTTCATGTGATTGTAAATGCCGGTCGTGCGGAGATTGTACTTGCTTCATTGAATTCTTCTTATCTATGGGAACATTGCAAAGTATTGAAGTTAACGAAGAATATGAGGCTGTTTAATAGCAGTTTGAATGCTGAAGAGGCCAAAGAAATAAGTGATTTCTCAGATTGGTTGCTTGATGTTGGAGATGGGAAGCTTTCTGAGCCTAACGATGGAATTACTGATCACAGCCTCAAACGATCCAATGGAAGTTATATCCAACGAGGTATATTCTGATCCTGATATGTTTGAAGTCGATAAGGATCCACGTTATTTTCAAGATCGGGCCATATTATGTCCAACTAACGACGACGTCGACTTGATAAATCAGTTCATGCTACGTAAAATACCCGGTAAGCTCTAATGACTTTAATTAACCTTCAATGAATATTATCTTCATAACAGGTTATAAGCTTTTCGCCATTCATCTTATGATCTCGATTATTTTGAAAACAGGTGAAGAACGAACGTATTTGAGTGCTGATAGCATTGATCCAATGGATATAGCTGCAAGGAACAATCCAATTTTCACACCCGATTTTTTGAACTCTATCAAGGTACCAGGTCTACCAAGACATTTACTTTGTCTTAAAATAGGAACTCCAGTTATGTTGCTAAGAAACATAGACTCAAAGGGTGGCTTATGCAATGGTACAAGACTGCAAGTTACTCAGATGGCTGATCATGTTTTGGAAGCACGGGTTATTACCGGAGATCGTGTTGGGCACAAAGTTTTGATCCCTAAAATTGTTATATCTCCATCTGACCTGAAATTACCTTTTCGAATGAGACGGAGACAGTTTCCGCTGGCAGTTGCTTTTGCTATGACCATTAACAAGAGCCAAGGTCAGTCGCTCAAGCAAGTTGGTCTTTACCTTCCACGACCAGTATTCTCTCATGGCCAACTGTACGTCGCACTTTCCAGAGTGACATCGAAGAAGGGTCTTAAGATACTAATCGTCGACAAAGAAGGGAAACCACAGAAGCAAACAACCAATGTTGTATTCAAAGAAATTTTCCAAAATTTATGAACAGAATCGTGTTTTTTTTTTAATGTCCTTTCGCAAATTTGATGTTTTCTAATGGATTCTTCTGATCCTCTAATGTTATTAAACAAAATGTGCTCCTATGACATCTCCAGGTAGGTTAACGAGGGATGATATTTACATGCTTTATTGCGGATTATATCGCCGGAGTTTAGAATAACCTATGACTCACGTCAAGAATTTTTATGGCCCATTTATCTCATCCGATATATCAGGATGTCCCCATAGTCACTAATAAGTATATTAATAAACGTAAAATTCCCGGAAGATCGTATTCGTATAATATCTTACCAAATATGTGGAGCACTTATTAAGGACTTCATACTTCGTTAAAAATGAGATCAATCCGTTGAATAGAAACTACCAATTCAAGATGCATAAGATACACAAATATGCGGAAGATATATTCTAATACTAAAATTTTTAATAATATATCAATTAAAGAAAAACGTATTAAAGAAAACCGTGTATCAAGGGATACGATTACTTGCGACGATTTAAACCCTAAAAGGTGGACAACTCTATAAATATCTCAAACTCTTTACTTTGTGTTTCATTGTACGGCGCCTTTTCACATATCTCTCCCATTTTTAAGCCCTTCACTTTCGATCAAACACAAGTGTTCCTCCAACATGGCTTCTTACATGATGGTAGCCGATTTGCACTCAATGGTCACAAACACGACGTTGGTCTGTGAAGGTCTTAAAGAAGTGGGTTGATGCTGGTCCAAGAGGTGTTGAGGGTTTTTATGCAATGGTTGTCGACGAAGCAGTAAGTTTTTTTTGAACTTTAGTACTATACTACAGGATATTTTTAAAAAATGAAGAACTAATTAATGTTGCTTATATATATGATTTCTCATCTAGGGTACAAGGATAAATGCCTCCGTAACAAGCACTGAATACGTTGGCATGTTTGATGACCAACTCGATGAAGGATTATGGTACAGCCTATCCAAGTTTTCCGTCGTCAATTCTCCTCACGGATGGTGCATTATGATGGATTCTAACACTAAGATACAAAAAATATCACCAAGAGTATCGAGTTATGTTACTGAACACCGTCCTTTCACATTTGTGATGAGTTTACGTGCTGATTATGCATTACCTATTAGTAAGCCTTCTTTTTTAAATCTCATTCTTTTAATACATCGACTTTTCTTGAACACATTTAACATTGATCTACAGACTTGATAGGTGTAGTCTCCTATGTTGGAGTTCTTCACACGGTGAGGGATGAGATTTTTGGTGCACGAAACAATTTTCGCATCCGTGATCTCCAGTAAGTACTTTAACAACAAAAATATGTGATGAATTGTATCTTATTTAGGACATCAAATAGCACATTAATGTTCTATACTTTTCTTAGGAATCGAGAACTGCTATGTTCTGCAAGTGGGAAGATCGCTACCGATTTCTATGAGATGTACCATAGAATCTCCAAATGATGTGGTTGTATGTGAGTTAACGGACTGGATAGCTATCTCCAGCAAAGGTAAGCCGTATATATTGACTTTGGATTTTTTAATTGATGTAATCATACGTTTAGTTAGTTATAATGGTGTCCTGCTTTATAAATAGGATGGAATCATGTTGTTGATGGAGGTGGTATTTCAAGATTCGAATTTGATCCACGTTTTCCCTTTGCGCAAGAACTGAAGGACAAGTAAGTGCTAATAAACCAACGCCGAATGATTTTGGCAGTGCTGATAGATAGACCAACTCATTTCTAATACTTTTACAACTTTTTTTATGTAACAGGTTTATGATATCTTCTCAGCATTTAAAATCACCATCACAAACAGTTAACACTGCCGAAGCACACTTCATCGCTCATAATCGCAATCGCATTGTGTGAAGAGCAAGATCTGCACTACAACACAAGACGAAGGGATCATGTTGGAAGCTCAACACTTTGCTATTCGTACCTTATTTTAATGTTTCCATCTTTTTAAAACTCTATTATTCTTTTAAATGTTTCAACCTTTTTATACTCTATTAAACGTTTAAGTCCACACACATTAGTGTGTGCGTTGTGATCGAATTCTTTTCTATATATTTATGAGGCTATTGAACATTCTCCACCCTCTTTCGTGAGTTTGAATATGGACTTATAACTTTCAGAATTACATTTGTTAAATGTTTCCAGCTTTTTAAACTCTATTACTTTTTTCAATGGCTATACATATTAGTTCAACATTGTCATCTATTTCTTTTCTATTTATTTATCAAGATATAGAACTTTCTCTACCCTCTTTCAATGGTTAAAATAGGGCATTATAACTTTCACAATTAGAATAACAACGTCATAACTGCTTCATATAAAAAAAGTAAACGTTTTCCCCGCACATTTGTGCGGGTTAAATCCTAGTTAACAAGAATGTCATGCTCATGTGTCATCATAAGAAAGCTTCTCATGTTGTTTATAAAATAAAGATTAACTAGGGTTTGACCCTTGCCTTGCACGGGGTGATAGTTTCTGAATTTGTATTTTTATTAAAAAATATTTATTTAAATAATTCGACATTTTGTGCGAGAGATTTTTAACAATTGTTATTCATTTATAGTATGGAAATTAGGCATTTTCATCCATTTTTTTTTAAAAAAGAAAGAAATTAAAACATTGATCATAACCACAGATTAAATATGATATATTTAACCAAGATACATAAAACTCAAATAACTATAATATGATAAGATAGATAATACATAGCACCAGTTGAGATAGGGACATAGGTCAGTCTACCAATGCTAAAACCTTTTTTTCTTGGTTTCCACTCCATAGTTTTACGGTGAAACACAAACATGGTCGGGAACTCTTCATAAGTTAGATCTTTCGCCTGGGGATACTTTTTACATGCCTCGAAGAAAGCAAAAACATCGACATCTTGGCAGAGGGACGGTTTAGAATTGCTTCCACATCGTCGTCGTCTTCATACGTCACATTCTGCTCGCCCTCGAGATGGAAATTAAGCTTTTCAACCGGAAGACTTCGGTAGTGTATTGGATATGCTAATATACGCCAAGCAGCTTCGCAAGCGGAAACGTATCTATTGAGAACAAAAGTAATCGTGGTCATAAGCAAAAACAATCATGAAACGTTATATGTATACATATGAATCAGAGTAATAAAATACTAAGTTACGTTTGAGATATTACCTGCAATCAAAAAACGCTTTAATCTCATCATCTTGCTTCTCTAAGCTTCCTCCATCATTATTTCCAGCAACGGCGTCTCTGTTTGGCTTGTTCTTCTTCTGAATGGTTGCCAGAACACGATCTTGACCCTTGTTGATATACTTGAATAAGTATTTTATACATCTCGATTGGTTACACCATTCAACGTTGATATGAGCCCTATACTTCTTTGATAAACCTTCGTTGTACGGCACAACAAATCCATTGTCACACTTGAATCCTTTCTTCTCAACAAAAGCACCGGTATTCCTTCTTCTGTAATGCAGATATCCTTGGTCATCGATAGATGTGTGTTCGCATGTTGGCTTCGGAAATCTTTTTGAACACTTACCATCAACCATGCAAGGTGAGTTTTTGTTTATTGCTCCACATGGGCCGTGAATCATCATATCCTTCACAACATCGTATAAGTGAGGATCATCATCCTTGTCTGGTATTTCAGCAGATATTACTCGATCAATCGATTTCACAGTATGAAACTTGGCACCTTCCTTCATCCACAATAATATATGGGCATGTGGGAGACCTCTCTTCTGGAATTCAATTGTGTAGATAGCTAAATGGAAAAAGATAAAATGATTAAATATTTGTTCTCTGAAGTTAATATATATTCCTGGACGAACAAAGTAATTCAAAATATGGAAATACCCAAAATTACCTGCATCTGTCTCTCCAAAATGGTTGTTTGTAGTCAAATCCTACATTAAACTGTCTAGCTTGAGCTTGAATATCCTGCAACATATATCTGCCCTGTCCTCTGGATTTAGATTTCTAAGTTTGCAATATCTAAATATCTCTGGCCAGGTGGGGTTGCAAGTGAAAGTGATGAAGAGATCTGGAAATCCGAAATGTTTACATATCGCCATCGCATCCATGTAGTTGTTATTCAAGTAACGTGGACCTCCGGTAAAAGAAGCTGGGATCAAAACTCTTTTACCTCGCTTAGACATATCTGTAACACCATCGTTCTGTGCCTCAACAACGTTGACATACTTATCAGACCGTAGTTTCTTTTGGTTGGTCCGCAGATAACGTAGACGGCAAGCTTCGATCATGGTGTAAACGTCAACCAGAAACTGCTGGAATAGACGTTTCGAACGAACAATTGCTTGTGATTCGGAGGGTCTGTCCTGAATCCTAAAAGCAGAAAACTCTCTCATCGAAATAAACTTGCGCTTTCCTTTTCTCTCGTCAGGAAAACCATCATCGATCCCAATCTGAAACCCATCCTCCCCATACGGAAAAAGAAACGGATACTGCAGAGCTAAGTAACCCGGATTCAGTTCACTTATTCTTTGAAGTTAACCTGAAACTATCTCCAACACTATATCACGTTTATGATAGCCTTCCTGAAAGTCACCGGGAATTAGAGCTGCGACTTCAGAGCTGGACGGCATGTTGTGAGTCCTCGCGTCTCTGTTTCGGTTTGCGATTAGAACCAAACGACAATCATCAGAAGGGGGTTCTCCCTTGAATCTATCTCTGTATGATCTAAAGGCTCCGACGAATGGATTGCAGCTGTCCAACATCTCAATTAGAGCTTCCACCAACTCGGGTCTTAGTTTGTTATCAATTTTTCCATTTTTGCTAAAAAAACCAAGAAATTTGAAAAATGTATTAGGATTCAAACACTTTTTAAAACATGAACAGAGCAAGATGAAACTGAAAATTTACCTTAATGCAGACAATCTGTTTGCAGCTTCGTTCACTGTGTCATGAATATATAGCCGCAAAAACTTAGCTTTATCTTCAGACGTGGGGAGCAAGCTACTAATTCTGTGATAATTTTCTCCATGTAGCTGGAATATACTTGGTCCTCTGCCTTGATTAACTGAATGATCAATTTTCCCACCAATAGAGGTGAATGAGAATATCATGTTGTATGCACGTATTCTCTCTGAAATGCTTGCATATTTCATCATCACCGATGAAGAGATACGTGAGCAATGGAGGTGGCTGCTGCAGTAATGGGAGCTAGACTTTGCCTTGCATATAACAGTTAGTGAAAATCGGCTTGGTTTTGGACCTCTTCTTCGCAATCCTCTCGTTGAACCATATGCGTGCAGTACAATGTTCGCATTCGTATATTGGGTCCCCGTCGTCATAATATCCTGTTATGAACAAAAGAATACATAATACAGTCAGTATTCAAAATATGAGTAATTAATCAAAGAGATTACTGTGGCATATACCATTCTTCTGCAATGAAGGTTGCCCTGAAACGTCAGATTCGTAGGGTCTTCTGTGTTGTCAGCAATAACATCCCTTGGACTTTCGTTGTTGCCATAGTTGACATGAGAACTTGTGATGTCTCCTTCATCATCGTTTTGAAGATCATAGAGTTGCTCTTCCCTCTCGGTATCAACTATAAAGTTTAGTGCAAGTCACATTTATAATTTCTATGACAAAACGAATATAGCTGATGATAAGGTATATACGAAACATACCAGGTTGAGAAGGAGCTGTTTGGAGTGTCGGAACCTTGAGGGAAGGTTGAATCTCCGCTCTGTTAACTACATATGGATAGAAAATTGCATGCTGAGAAATGGTAGATATCGCAGTGTAACACATCAATAAATCAAACTAAATCTACCCCTCTGTCGTGATGCTTTCTTTTGCTTCAAGACGTTTATACGATTCTTTCTAGCTTGTTTCTCTAAAAAGTTTTATGCATTGCTTGCTCTGTTTGTTGCAGTTGTGCCTACAAAGAGGTATAATACATAACAACTATCTTGACAAAGTATTAACACGAAAACGAAGTTCCTTTACTCTAGACTTACTTATGCTGTTTGCATTTGGTATAGGCTGCAAGCTACACTGTTCTGTTATCATGGCGTTGACGTCACAGAACCATTTACCGACTATGATATTTAGAGGAAAATGTTATTACCACTTCTTATAGGATTACAAACAAATGAGATAGATGGGTAGACAATAATACATGAGTCTATTAGGCTCTGCTTACTACGGCTGTCAGCCTTTTTGTATGTATTTTTCTCTGCAAAACAATTAATAAACATTTCAGGCTATTTTTTTTTTGGGGAAGAATGAAGAATATTAAGTTTCCTCGTACCAACAATAATAATCTTACTCTCCGATTTGGATGTACCGAGAATTTTCCTTCATGATGGTTTAAAATTTTTCTTGCGATGGCTGAGTGAAGATTCTGGCTTGTCAGGACATCCATCAAAATCAAGATGTTGGGGAACAATAGGTGATGCTTTGCGTGTTAGGTTTGACTGAGGCTCACTTCGATGCGAATCAACCCCACATGACGTTAGATTAGGTGGTATATTCTCTTTACCAATACCTAGGGATTATTTATATTACATGATCGTTATAAATAGATTACAATACATATTAAGTCATCCAAAAAAAAAATTTAATCAGAGTACACTTACTTGAGGGTGTATGCGTGTTAGTAAAGCAATTAGTTATGCTTCCCTGCATGAGTCCAGTATTTTGACTTGGATGCTTCCCTTTGCGGTTGAAAGAACCTCTCAACGATCGTCGAGTAGTTAGACAGCTTCGCGGTGTTTGTGTGAATGGAGTGAATGGGGAAGTAGATGTGAAATATGGGGTGATTGGATTAATATTTCTCATTTGGTCAAGACCTTGTCTTTGATCTCCAGTGAGTCCGTAACCTATATATACAAACAAATAGTTAAAAAAACTCAATAGCAAGAATTTGTATTTAAAACGGTATGTGCTTGCTCCAAACCTTGTGGTGATTGAGCTTCGGGTTGATTTAAGTGTTGAAGATTATCCTGTAGATTTGATATATATTTGAAAGGGGATAACGGATCCTCACTTGTAGACCCCTCTGCATAACAATTGCAAGTAAGATTAACAGTAAATTTTCAGGTATTTAGTTCAGTTTGAAGACGTAATAGCTAAAATAATAATAAAACAACTACGGAGGCTTGTCACCATGATTTTGTTCATCGCTTCTGCTTTTCTTTGACATAATTTTCTCATCAGATGATTGACCATCGTTGTTTACTGTTTTTCTTCTCATGTTTGTATACAAAAATGGAGAATGCTGGAGAAGCGGCTTTGATACTCTGCTATCTACCCTCACAACAACATCTTGACGGTGAAAAACTTTAGGTATACAAATCAATTAAATGATAACGATCGTTAAATTACGTATATTTCTCATTTTATAAATCTAATCAGACTCTCCTTTTAGTGATAAATGTTTCCTAAGTTAGACATACATAATTACGATAGTAATAGAATTGATATCCATTTAGATAGGTTATCAAATTAATAAAGGCAATGTCAATATCATATAAACATTTATTCCCTCGCAATTATTTCATTCAAATTCCGCAAAGTTTGAAAAGTATAACCGCAGGAAACTAAGAGAATTTGAAATTCGCTAAAACGAAGTATAATCGGATTCCTTCCACTATGTTTCAAATTTTAGCCACACTTGTAATTACATTTAAAACGAAGAGGAAGGGACTTGAAAAACATTTCATAATCACTTCTCAGAAAATACAGAGTTTTGTGTCTATATTATCCTCTGTTTAGTCGAGGGTACATATTAACCTTGATAACGTTTAAAGATAAGTGATCAAATGACTTTAAAGAACGCGAAGAGAAGTTAAAACAAACTAAAGTAAACCAAAAAAATAGTAGAATCACATAACATAACATATTCTTCATACAAAACAAAAGAGAAGAGCTGAATAAGTAGAAGCAGTAGAGTATAAGAAAATATCACCCCGATTACAAAAGATGGAATAATACTAAAGGAGACAACGTTGATGTAATTCAAACTCGGGACCGAGTAGCATCTTATACAACGCAAAAAGGCATAATTTAACAGAATGTTCAAATGGCATGCGAAGTGGATCCAGCCGCTGACATGTTCTCCGGTGGTTCTTCAATCTCGGGATTCAGCAATCTACAAAACATTTTACAGCAACAACGTCTTCTATGTGAGAGGTGATACATTTTAAACCTTAGTTAATTACACATCGAATAGTTTATAAGAAGTTAATACCTATGGCGCATAACTTCAGCCTCCTTGATCCATGGATTGAAGAAGAACCTAGCCAACCCTCCTTCACCTGTGACCAGAATCTCCCCTACGGCATTGAATAGAAAGATGAACTAATGTATTTGTTGCATATAAATACAAATAACATTTCTAAATTAAAAAAACATTCAAACAAAGAGCACAAACCATTGTGAATTGTGACTCTCCATTCACTCAGAACGAAAATTGGCTTATCGGCAGAAGAAAATGATTTACGTTCACGGTTAAAATCCAGAGCCAATTCTCCATAAGCAACACAGTAAATTTCCTGGTTCCTATTATCAACTTATATTCTACAATTATGGATCCATGAAAGTGGCGACTACTACACTGTCACCAGAGAACAAAAACAATAAAGCAGAAAAATTTACTAATGGGATAAGCAGCATCGAAAACCCTGGTTGTCACTTGTCTGAAATCGGTGAAATCAAATAGGTGACTGTCTCTGAGCGATGGAATCGGCCGGACTACAGTTGGTCCATCTAGACTAATCATATACTGGTGGTTGGCTATGTTGATCCCAGTTCCGGCCACTAACATGAACATTTGCGATTTCTCTCCAAGAATCCTCTGGCAAATCTCTCTTGAAACGCTTCAAGTACTTGTGGCTTACAGCCGCATGTATTTTTATCCCCTGAATATCCAAAGAAAACAATAGACGATTTATGTTAGACGAAACAGGATTTACTTACATAATTGACAGAGGGAACTATTATATGAGGTAAACATCTGAGGAATAATTTGTGTTTGAAACACAACTTACATTTTTATCAGCAAGAATGAAATCCATGGCCGGATTTCCCTCGGAGTCCACTGTTTCTCTCCTTCGATAAACTTTCACTTGAATGCTTGAGTTCGTCTTCCATGGAAGAAGCTTCTCGAGGCGACAATACTCTGTCATGACTGCAAAGCCTTTGTTTTTTCTGGATTGTAGAGGATGCAAGATACGGAGAAACAAAAGTTGGAGAGAAATAAAAATCAGAGTATCAAGGGTTTTTTCTTATGGAGATCTTGTGGAGAAAGCTTTTAAAAAGAGTTTCAATTATGACAAAGAGATGTGAATCACACCGATTCCTGCTACTCCCGAAGTCATTTTGTTATTTTTTTAAGCTTATTACTTTCCAACTATAGAATTAATATTCTCCTTGTAAGAAAGTTGTATGTTTCTTCCCATATAAAAAAGTATACTAATATTGAGTGTTCCATAATATTGAGATTTGTGACACTCTAGAGATTTGTGACATAATGGTGTTCATAATATTGAGATTTGTTTGTAATAATTAGATATGAATCACATCAAAAAGATTACGTATACGACTCGTATCAATGATGTTTCCCTATTTTCATATATATTTGTCGGAGAAGAATATACTAAAGATACCGGTTTTTTAAATTTTTAAAAATTTAAAAAAAGAGACTTCTTATATGAGAAAATTACACTCAGGTGCACTTTCTGACTTACAATTTACACTTAGACACACTTATTGACAGAGGTGGACTTTCACCAACTGAGTTTACCCTCTTACCCTCATCCCAACTTATTATTGATTTTCTATCCCTTTTACCTTTCTCATTTCACAGTTCACTTTCTATTTTTTACTGTGTCATCACTTCCGACAAACCTCGACGGAGACAATCACCGGAGCCCGACACACGTTTATCAGATTTCGTCCCACAAATGATTCCTCGTTCCAGAACCGATTCCTCGTTCCGATTCCACTCTTTCCGTCCCCACCCGATTCCACATATACCCTCGTCTTTCTCTTTTCACTTCTATCCTCCCTCTTTTTATTCACTTTGACGGACACCTTCCTGCGATTTCTAAAACTCCATCGACACCGCCACTAAATCCGCCGAAACACATCTTTAGATCTCATCGATTTCAGAGGTCAATCTCACCGCTTTTTTATTCTGTTAGCTGTAACACTTTGTCGGGTCCCTGAAGGAGGAGTAGGAGGAGCTGCTGTAATTAGAAAAGTTGCAGGTGCTTATATTTCTTGGAAAGATTTGACTGTTACTATGAAAGGGAAGAGAAAATATTCTGATAAGGTGGTGAAGGGTTCGAATGGTTATGCGTGACAATTTAGGATCTCGCATTCTGAATTTGGCTTTGTTTCCTTGTCTTCATACATGTTTATCAATATTTTCTGATTATCAGCTCATAGTTTTTGTGATTACAAATTTATGGACGAATCTTTAAACTTGTCCACTTATACTTGTCCACCATCATCTATATGACTGTGGATTGTAAACAAAATCATACATAACACGAAATTGTACATCTATTGTCCACGCTCATCAATTGTCCAAAAGCAAAATTATCCACGCATACACTTATCCACACAAATAAATCGTACACCAAAACCATCCAAGTCACCAAATCGTCCAAAATAATGGTACACAAGAGCTCTGTTTTATCTAATTGCAAGTACTCAGGTAACCTATCACAAAACCAAATTATGGGTACATGAAAACTGCACATAATCACAAAGTGTCCACGACAAGATTGTCCAAAGTCCAAACACATATTCGTACAAGCTTTAAACTGTCCAAAAACATTTTTTACATAAAACACACCCAAATACAAGATCCATATCCATTTATAACAAATGAACCCAAATCAGACAAAAAACAAATTAACCCCAAAAACAATATAAATGAATATTATATCATCCACAAGTAACCATCCATAAACACATTATTATCCATCTGAAATGATCCAAAAAGAGTCATCCATAAGCTCACTTCCACAAATTAACAAATCTGGGTTAGATGAAGCTACAAATGAAGTAACGCTGAAAGTTTATGGTGATTGACATTGTTGTCCAAATAGTACAGCGGAAAAAACAAAGTTATCCAACTGAAACCCCAAGACATAAAATTCTTAGAATACACAATTGTCGACGAGCCCTAAATCAAATTCATATCAACCTGTGAAACAAAATCTAATAACCGGATGACCAAATGAACTCGGACATCAATTTAAATCAAATTTTCCAGCGGGAATAGACTGTTCCGATCCCGTTAGCATCTCTTAAACGATGACATTATTTATTCTTAGCCAACATTAAACAGTTTATTATGGACCAGTTAAACAATCATAAGTTAGCATAACAATAACCACCTTGATTCTAAACTATGGCAAAAAGGGTTGTCGATCGGAATCGCAGTCAATCAGAAGCCACCACAAACCGGCGTAGAGTTAAAAATAAGACAAAACATGGTAACAAATTTCACTCCAATTTCACGAAGGGCAAAATGGAAATCGTCCACACACTAAAATCCAAAAATAAGTGCACCACTTTCACAAAGTCACTCTTTGTGTAATATAAGTGACAAAAGTCACTCATAGTGCAAATCACTCCTTCTCATATACGCAAAACTTCGTTATAATGTTTGCAAAGTTTAAAATATAGTCAAGATAGAGAAGGGACAAATTATTATAAATTTGGAATGAGGAGAGATAGTTATGCAAATGCAATTGGCCCAAGCTAATTGATTACTTGACCCAAATATTACTACGTCGGCCTTTTGGAAGTTATTGTATCATTCTTACTTGAAGGATTGATAAAATTTCAATATTGCTAGTAATTCCATAAATCAGTTATGCTCTGAGATATTAAAATCCGATGAACCGATGCAACAGTCGATAAAGTTAGAAAATACAAATTTAAATTTCCTTTCTGATATAGAAGGTAAACTCGAGAAACAACATGTGTTTTCCCAAAAACTTATACTTTGGGCACCATATAGAAAGCAAGTGTTTTCCAAATAACCAAAAAAATATAGAAAGTAAGCCAATAGCAAAGGAACCAACCATTGCATTAATGAATATAAAATCAAAGAAATTCAATGAAATTAAAACGAAATAATCCAAAACAAAACAATATAGAAAGCCATAAAATGTAAAGTCTCAGTAACGCAAAAAAACAATAACTTCAGACCCGATTTCCTCAAAACTCTTCAGCTGCAAACACACTTCAATTGGTCTTCTCAACTTTCACCTGCTTCAGCACAATCCCCTGACCCGTCGTAGCAACCTCATCACCATCGAAACATGGCTTCTTGACAGAAGAATGCCTAGTCTCCAATTCATTCTTCTCGTCATACTCCTCACTCTTACGTTTGGAAGATGGAGTCACCTCATCGCTTGGCCCGTCCAAAATCATTAATGGAATGTCCTACAAAATCAAGATTAGTTAATTTCATCTGTATCAAGCCGAAACAACTATAATATCATCATCAAAGTATATAAACCTTTGAATCCTTGAATCCACTACTTTGATTTTTCAATATCCTCGGTGTTTTCTCCTGAAAAATACATTGTATCAGTTATGGATTGATAGTAAAACAGAACTTTTTTAATTCCGATGATGATACGATATGTATAAAAAATAAACCTGAGAGGCGGAAGTCTCCGAGAACTCCCTTACTATGTCCGACTGTGTGACAATCTTTATGACCTTGAAGGTCTCACTCCGGTAAATTGTGTTCGACTTCTCGATTCTTTCCAACTCTTTTCACTCTAAATTGCAAACGAATGACGGGTACTTTTCCTTGGCATTCAGATGAAGAGGACAGTGCCACAAATGTTGGTTAATGCCAACGGAAGGACAGTGGGATCCTGAATCTAGAGACAATGAAAATAATATTTACGATTAATATCACTTGTTTTAGCACTTGAAAACATTAAACATGCTCTATAATAGTATTAGTTATTCGAACCTCGGTGTGATCAACCACTAATTCGGCAGCTGTCTGATTAACCACTTCCATCGCAAGCTTATCAAAAAGGAGAAACTTAGTTTCACCGGTTGCGTCTATCACACGGAAAGTCAACAGGAACCTAAATTTTGCAAAAATGCAACCATAAGCAACGATATGATAACGTCTACGTATAAATGACAACACTTAGGTTTAATTCCTAAAACTTACGCAGGCATAACATTGTCAACGTGATCCTCACATTTTGGACATTTCCATAGCTGCTTAGAGAAGTCACCTCCAGGAGTTTCTTCCTTAAGAGCTTCCATGTTGACGGGCAAAAACCTTCCTTTTGCACGTCTGGCATTCCATGTAATACCATCGATATTTTGTATCAATGCTCATGATTGTTGCCATTGTAACACACTTGACATTCTGGGATTTAAGAATTTAATTAGCATATATTAAGTGTATCTAAAAAGAATAGAACCATAATAAGCGAATAGATTTGTAGTAATACCTCAGAAGCATCAACGATCTCGGATATCGTCCTACGGGGGGTCTGTGAAAGGAAATCTTCACGTACAGAGGTAGAGTTGACGATGACCAACTGATTAGGATGAGTGTAGGACAATGTCACTCCATCTCTAGGAAGCCTGCAAACTTCCACGTTAGAAGCAACGATTGTATTACTACACAAAATATATAGGGTTTGATGTTAACCTGTCCTTAAAATCAGCTATCTCTGGCAATTTAGAATTCAACATCACCATGGAACAATTGTAACAATTTCCGACGCTCCAAACATCTACAAAAGTTGGTTTAACGTTTGAAACATATCAGTCAAATGAGCGATCCTCGATATAACAACACTAAAATAATTATGTATAATAAATAGTTACCTTGGTAAAGACGGATTTTCCCAAATCGCAGCACAAAAACTACAACAGCATCATGGACATTCTGAGCGTAGGCCTCAAGCTGCTCCGCGAACTCACCCCACAGCACATAGTTGAGCCGAACATCTCTGGAATATACAATACATAGTTAAAAGTGTCAATGTTATTTTTATGTTATTAAGTAGATTGAACGACTGCAAAGTGCAAACACATACTCTAAATCGCGAAAAACCATTGTCATCCTTTTTGTCTGCTTCTTACTAACATTGAGGATCTCAACATTGCCGATCTCAACAATTTGGCCCATGACATCTGAGTAAAAAACGGTATAAACTCTAGGAGATATTAGATCAAAGAAAAATAGTACCAGTAAATGTAACAAATGAATGTAGCAAACATACCAAGCAAAAAATCAGGATTGAGCTTCCCTTCATGGATATCAGTAAATCTTACAGGATTAAATCCAATCACGTCTGATGGTATGTTAGTGTCAGTCTTGATGGTGGTGGTTTGAGCAAGACAGATCATATACTGATGTCCAGAAGTCCGGAAACGTCCACTGGTTGGAGTCACCTGAAAATTTGTGATAATTTTCGTCTCACCTTCCACCAACAACACATCCATCCTCTTAATGAACTCCTTTTTCACAGTGCAGTGGATGACTTGATCCTGTAAACCACATATCGCCCATTAAAAGAGAACTTAAGTTTATTCAAAAACAATATATTATAAACTCATAGATTTGTTAAAATACCTTCTCATTGACGACAATCATCTCCATGGTCTTCAAGATCTTCACACGGATCTTCCACTGGGATTTGAAAGGCTTGCAAGAGTAGAAGTCAACAATTGAAGCCATTTCTGAGAAGAAGACAAATGTAAGAAGAAACTTTAGTGGAGTTCTTGCAAGAGATGATGAGAATCTAGAATGGGGAAGGGGTCGCTTAAATAGTGCAATGGGTATTGTACCACTGTCTAGGTATAAGCACGCATAGAATATTTGCAATCACAGAAATGGCAACGTTTAATTAATTGTAATACAATGTGAATATCATTATATAGAGAAAATTATCAGCTATGGGAAAATAGTTTTATTAAGAATGTAATTTAAGAAATGAAGATGTGTAGCTTGATATGCTAATTAGTTCGGTTGCATACGAAAAAGGAAAACGTGAAAAAAACGCAATAAGCAATTATCTTGCATGGAAGTATTGTTATTCAATCAATATCCCAACCTTTTAATAGTTACCTTAATCGAATAAAGAAATGGAAAAATCGATAGAGGCCCAAATTTATTCTGTTTTCGGTTGCAAATTTGTGTTTCTCTTTTAGCCCAATAACAAAAAGGATCCGCGTGTTTTTATATTGGATCTCGGGTCAGCTCCAACTCGTATATATTTATTAAAATAAATCAAAAAGAAACTCAAAAAACTGTGGGCTCGCCACGTCAGCCTTTTTGCATGGTCTTTAATATATTGTAGGATTTTATCGTAATAATTTAAAAAAAAAAAAATCATTAGATATCTCCTTCTATTTTTGTTTACCTTTATTTTCTAAAATAACTTGAATCACAATAAAAAAAAATAATCAAGAAAATCAAAAAACAATTCTGTATATCTTATTATATAAAGCTGGATGCGCACGATGTGGTTGCGAGTAGGATTTTTATAAAATTTAAGGATCGCGACACGTGTCACTTTTAAATTTATGTCCGTTGAGATCGTGACACATGTCTTAGGAAAAAATGAGAACTTAAAAAAAAATCCAGAAAAATGTTAATTAAAGAAAAACGAAATTTAATTTAATATATTATATCAAAAAGGAAAAAATAATATTTGTCATATCCAAACAGAAAAAGGTTTCCCATTCATCAATTTTTTTTTGGGGGAATTGCTCAATATAGTACACAATTTGATTTGAAATGCAAAATAGACCTCTTATTGCACTTATGTCAAAACTAGTCTTTTGGCATGCCAAATTACAAAATACACCCTTATGAACAAAAAAAAACGAGAGCCATAATGTCTGTTTTACCCTATTTAAAGTCTAATCATAAAGTCTACTACATAGTAGACTTCATGATCAAGTCTAATTCCTAATCACAACTTAAATTTAAATTATAAAATTAAAGAAAAATAATTTGATTAAAAAAATTATACATAAATAAGATAAAACATTTTACATCCATTAAAAATAAAATTGCATATAAATGAATCCATTTAAGTCAACTAAGATTAATTAGGTTTGTAACCTCTAAATTGTGTGAAGTCTACTCGAGAAGTCTACTATATGGTAAAATCTTAAATTTAAATTTTAAAATTTATAAAAAATATTTGGTAAAGAAATTTACACATAACTTTAACACAAACATTTACTATTCCATGAAAAATAAATTTGCATATAAACCGATCAGTTTAAATCAAGTAAGACAAATTATGGTATAATCCAAAAAATTGTGTGAAGTCTACTGAAGAAGTCTGCTTAATAACAAAATTAAAATTTAAAGTTTAAAATCTATAAAAAAACAATTTTGATAAAAAAAGTTATACATAATTTAAATAAAGACAAGTCCTACCTATGCAAAATAAAATTTCATGAAAATGAATCAATTTATAAGTTTCATGAGTAAACCAAATCACCAAGCTTAGTGTTTGAGGTATATTGTATAGGGTTTGTCAAGAGTATTGTTAGGGTTTAGATAGTTTTGACCAAAAAAAGTTTTTGTTCGTTTAACGATTTAAAACTTACCAATTCGTAGTTTATAATGACGCCGCTTCTTCTTCTTCTCGCCTGAGCAAAGCCACTCGCCGTCAACTTCGCCGCTTCTTCTCGCCTGAGCGAATGGCAGATCTCTCGGCTCCAATGGATCTACGCCGCTTCTTTTTCTTCTTCTCGCCTGAGCAAAGCCACTCGCCGTTAACCTTTGCTGCCTCTCCCTCGCCATTAACCCCGCCTCATCTCCCTTCTCTGCCTCTCTCTCCCTCGCATCCCTCCTCTCACCGTTGGATCTCTCTCTCTGCTAGGTGAATCTCTCTCGCTTCTCTCTCTCACTTTGATTCATGCTTTCAATTTTCCTGCTGCGAATGTGTTCTTATCTGATAGAGTAAGACTAGATTCTGTATTGGTTGCTGCAGGATATGGCTGAAAAGATAGAGTTATTGGAAGGAGAGGGTGAAAGACAAGGTGATGAGTTCAGTTCGAAAGGATTTTTATAGAGCAGATTAGTTTTATTTTTTGTTGTAAGATTAAATTACTGCTATTGAATCTATTATGGTTAATGGATGTAGCAAATTGTTGAGCTTCAAGAGCTGTACAACTTGGAACAGCTTGTAGCTGCTGGACTGAGAGAGAAGCTTGATAAGACTGAGGTATCTATCACAAGATTTTGTTTCTGGCTTGGTGCCGAGCACAATTCACTTTCTTTCTACTGACATGCAAGGATTCTTTTACCTCTGATTTCAAAAAAGCTCTGTGAAACTGAACAAGCATTGTTATTTTTGTGTTTGCAAATGATCTTTAGACTGCAGGAAACTGCAGCAAATGATAGTCCATTTCCATCGACATTGAAGAATAAAAGAATCCCTAAAATTGTGTATTTCAGATCATGGGCTCTTTTCTCTTAAAGGTAACACTTTCCTGCTTCTTTTGTTCTTGTATTCCATCTTTATAAACCATGAACTGAGATAGAAAAAGGTACACCGAAGCAAACTTACGATACTATCTGCATATGCAAACTCTTATGCCTCCTTTTAAACAAACTCTCTTGCCTTTGAAACGCTCTTACCTTTGATTACATGTTATTGTTTTTCCGCCAAATTTCGCTTTGATATTGTTTGAGATGGAACATTTTAGATCAAGTTTCTTCTTTAGGATTTCAATGAAGCTCCAATCAAGTCTTTTGCTTTGGCTAAAATCTGCTGCTCCTAATATTGGTTGCTCTCTCCTTCAGGTTTGACAAGAAAACGTCTCCGAGCTGCATCAATATTACCTCTCATGATATAAGATCTCTTTTCTTCTCTTTGTTTTTGTCTCGTGTGTGCTCGGAGACAGCTGGCGGGTTTTCTTTTTGTGATCCTTGCATTTGCTTTGATGTGTGTTGTTTGCTAGTTTTTTTCTGTTAATGTTATATAGGTCCGAGAGATCCTACGATAAAACCATTGTCTGTGCGGGCTCTTTGTTTATGTGAATTTTGGCTTTGATTGATTTCGCTCGTTTTCTTCTTAGACTGTTGTAGAATGTTTTTCGTGGGAATCAGAATTTTTGGCTTTAGTCGAATCTGGTTCTATGATTCATTATTCTCTATAGTAATACTTTGTAGTTAAGGCCATGGAATTGTGATTGTCACTTTAAGTGCGTTTAATATTTGAGGTACTTATCACTTTCAATCTCTGGCTATTTTCAGCTCTTTGAATGCTGGACTCAAGTGACGAATTATTGGATTCAAGACCGCTGCTAAAAGAGGAGAAGACACCACATTCTCAATTGGTGTTTTGCTGGTGCTAAAGTTGTGATCGTGTAGTTTTAGAGATAGAATGTTTCTTTGCCTTGTGATTATCAATTTTTATAGCTTTTGAACTAAACATAAAGGCAATTGGTATGCTGTTTTTTTTTTTTTTTTTTTTTTTTTTGACAACAGCCTAAGTTTCTACAGTGGTTCGGGAAGCGAGACCGGTGGAACTGAGTTAATATAATACACATCGTAAGGCTGATCTCGAGAATTCCATGCTAACTTGTCTGCCTTTGTGTTCTTCGTTCTTGGGATGTGGGTTAAGGAGAACGCCTGGAACTGCCTCTTGTACTTCTCAACCTCTGCAAGTAGATTTTCAAACGCCGGCCACTCTTTCGGTCTGGACACCATCTTAACCAAATCTGCGCAGTCCGTTTGAAAGTTCATTCGCCGTTTATTATGGACTAACATACTCTGCATAGCCCAAGGTAGAGCTTCCAGCTCTGTCTGTAAAGGTGATAACCCCATCTTGGATTGCAAGCACCAACCAAAACTGAGCCCGAATTGGTATGCTGTTTAGATGCCAAAAAAGACATTACAACTTCACAACTGTTTAAAAAAATCAAATACAAGCATTTTTTATGCATCTTATCTATCTAAAATTACCAAGTTCAAACATATATTAAATTTCACGAATAGATTTCACAGTTAAAAAAAAACCACCGGATACAAGCATTTTTGATGCATTACTTTGCTAAAACAGACTAAGTTGTAAATACAAATAAATAATATTCTGCCTAATTATACATTTGAGATTTGAATTTTTTCTTATGTTTATGAAAACCTATTTGATGCGGATATGAATACTTTTCTTCTTGGATGATCAATAAGAGAGAACTCATAAACAGAAACCTTAAAACAATACTACCAAAAGAAATAGTTTACTTGTCATTACTAGTAGATTATTACTAGTCCAATATAAGCATAATAATCTCATCGTAATGATCAATACTCATCATTACTAGTCCAATATAAGCATTTTTTATGCATTTGAAGTAGCTAAAACAAACTAAATTCAAACAAATATTAGATTTCAAGGGTAGACTTCACAATTATTCTAAAAAAACAAATAAAAGCATATTTGATGCACTTTACCTAGCTTAAATTGACTAAAGTCAAACAGATATTAGATATCACGATTAGACTTCACAAATAGATTTTACAGAGAAGTCTACTTAGTAATGATCTAATGTACTAATCAAACAAGAAAACCTTATTCACTTTGTATATAATGAATATAAGCATGTAAAATCCACACAAAAGCAACTTAACAGAATAATACAACTAGTTGTTCAAGAAAATCTTAAAAATTTATTACAACTTTTCCAAATATGCGTTTTTGAAAAAATATATCATATGGTTTTTTTTTTGTGATTCGTTATAATATCAATTAGCATATCAAAATATATCAGAGAAAATCAACATGAAAAGATATTGTGAAGAAAATACCAAAGCATCATCGTGAAAAAGAAACTCAAAAAATTGAAAGCCAGGTTTTGTGGTTCACGGATTCGAGCGGGTTCACCGGTTTTTAATGAATTTTGTGGGTTAATTCAAAACCGGTTTTTAGTGATAAACCAACTCGGATTTTCTCCCGAGTTGCAATCGAACCGGCCGATCCAGTCCGGTTTTCAAAGCACTGGTTTAAACGAACGGTTGCAAACTATCGTTTTGTCCTTATGAGAACTTTATAAGTAGTGTCTTGTTTCTGAAACAAGATAGACAAAGCTGATTATGTTATCAGAGAGATCTAGAGAGTTAGATTTGATTCACAAAGAAATATAAGTAAACAAACACAAGATCACTATTTGTTACTCTTTGATTTTAACTCTAGACAAAGAGTGAACGTGATTGTCTTATCCTATGAGGAATTTCGTGTAATCCAAGGCCGTATATGGTCGAAATACTCTTTAAGGAAAGTGCTTTGTACGCGATTCAATCTTAATCCAAGATACCCACACCTCTCTAAAACACATTATCGTCTATTCCAACACCTTACGCTCTGTTCTAACACCGAAACAAAGGTCATGCAAACCAACAATCTTACAGAGTATTTTCCGTGAACGATGGCTGGTGTCTCTATGTGTGAGATGTCTTCCAAGTTTCGGAAGTTTAACAAGTTCGAAGGAGTTGATTTCAGAAGATGGCATAAGAAGATGCACTTTCTTCTTACAACCCTTGATGTGGTGAATATTCAAAGCATGTTCATGCCCACCAAGGACCGAAATCTACGGATTGGTTAAGGTATGATCATAAGTCATAACCATTCAAATGTTTCGTACACGATTCAATCATAATCTAAGATATACATACATTTTACACATTTTTATGTGAAACACATTGTTGTTTGTTCCAACACTCTGCACTATGTTCCAATAAACATAGCTCATACAAATAAACAGAAACAACCTTCTGTCATTTACTCCCTCCATTTCAAATTAGTTGTCGTTTTAGGAAAATATATCTGCAATGTATTTGAATGTTTAATATATCCATATACATTTTCTAAAAACGACAACTAATATGAAACAGAGGGAGCATTCATTACTCATTATCATACGTCAAGCTTGAAAAATTATCGCACTCAGTCAACAAGTTCCAACTTCTATAATCCTCTAAAATTAATTAGCATTGCTCAATTTTTGATTCAGAATAAGAAAGTTCTGTGGCAACCCCAAAATGAGACAAATGATTTGAATTAATCCGAAATTTTGTAACACTAACACCACAAAAATAGTAGTCCAATTTGAAAAAAAAAATAAAAAAAGAAAAGAATTTACAGTTGTAAGAGGATACAAAGATGAGAGATTGATCGGAAAAATGATCTCTGGCATGTTTTTAAGCCTTCATGTGATCTCTTCCTCCCACACCGTTAAGTTAAATCTTAAAGAGAAGAAACCAATACACAAACAATAAATGCTTCCCTTTGCATCATAGCCCTCTCTTTCTTCATTCTCTGTGTATAGCCGAAGCCCAAAAAATAACAATAATCCCCTAACTTCCCCATGTATATAATACTACTAGGAGGTGATCCGCGCTTCGCGAGCGAATTTATATTATTGTGTTAATTTTATTGTTTTTCCGAAAAATTTATTTATTTATATGCTTTATTATTGTTTCAAAAATATTACACATATAAATTAAAAATAATTAGGGTTAGACAAAACTAACGTACTGTCTCTTTCCCGTCCCATCCGTCATGTCTGTCCCATCCCGTTCCGTCGAGTCCTATCTTATCCCATTATGTGTTGATCATTTGTTTCAGTAGAGCGACCATATGATTGCATTGCACATCATTAAAAATACAAAGGAAAAGAAAGGAACGTATATGTCTCGAACCTACATTTTCATTGAATAAATAAAACGAAAAAATGCCATATCCACAAAGATCAAGGAATTACTTTGTTCATAGATACAACTATATAGTTAAATTTTCAAATTAAATCATTGACTAATCTCGTTTGCAGTGAATGATTACCATAGTTTTTTTGGCAGGTCTAGTGATGATTTTGAATAGCCATCAGGGCCGGTCAGTGACGGAGCTAGTGTAGAGGCAGGTTGGTCAAGTGACCCATGTGAAACATATAAATATGTTTTAGTGTAACTAAATTTCTTAAGGAACTAGCAGCTCAGTTGGTAATATTCTGGGCATTGACCACCCTAAACCTAAGTTCCATTCTCTTAGTGACCCTTTTGAAAAAAAAAAAAAATTTATATATAATCTATACTATTAAAGTAGAGACACAACTTAAGTAAACAACACTAAACTAGAGTCTATCATTGTAGCCAAACATCCCTAAACCCAGAATTAACTTAAATCAAACCGGCTAATTGTTCCAAAACAAAAATAACCGTAATATGTGCTGATCTTGACCATAAATTTCGGATATTACCTGATTTGTTGCCATAAAAATAGTCTCCGTCATAGCCGAAGAATTATAAATATGAAATTCAATAAATATTAAAGTAGAGACACAACTATTAAAGTAGAGACACAACTTAAGAAAACAACACTAAACTAGAGCATATCCCTGTAGCCAAACATCCCTAAACCCGGAATTAACTGAAATCAAACCGGTTAATTGTTCCGAAACAAAAATAACCGTAATATGTGCTGATCTTGACCATAAATTTCGGATATTACCTGATTTGTTGCCATAAAAATAGTCCATGTCATAGCTAAAGAATTATTAATATGAAATTAAATAAATATTAACAAAATAGGAAACTACCATAACAACCTAACAATATTCATAACCAAAAAGTTAGTTAATTCAAAATATACTCACTATGCTTTCAAATAAAAGGAATCCCAAATTAAATCACGTAATCCCTAAGATTTTAGAATATTTACAGAATATATGAAAAAACTTCTCTATATAAAGAGATTGTGACGATCATTTAACGCTTAAGATCTTCATAAAAATAGAAATATAGTCATTTTAATATAAACTAGGTCTTGACCCGTGCTTGGGAAGCACGGGATGTTGTGATTTCTAAAAGAACATTTTAACTATTGATACAATTATGTAAAAAAAAGTATGCATGTTTGTGATATATAATGATGAATCAATTTATTTTGATTATCCAAGGATGAGATTAAATAAATATGCGATCATTAATGTTAAATTTGGGTGAGTTAAAAATTGTTACTATTTGAAGCTAGATTCTGACCCCGAGAGAACGAAATCAAACCGAAATCGGCATCTGAATAATATAACATAAATATGTGTCGTTTTACGGTTTGCTTGCGTCTAATATTGAGAAGCACTGATTTTTGAAGATTTTAGTTTTTTGAGTTATACAGTTATTTGCTGTTAATTTTAATTTGGTTGATCGTTTGATCATTTTATTTATATGTCATAGATGGGACTAACAGTTGATCGTTTCATTAGTTGCTTGGTGATTCAAGAAAGAGTTTTTGATTGCTTTTCCATTCATAACTTCTCTGCATCGAAATCAAAATGAGATTAGTAAACATGAAATAGTAAGAAGGGAAACATCTATGCAATAACCCGGTAGTTATCACCATGTAACGATGTATTTATAGTTTCTTAAGATGGGGTCATTAGGTTTTCAATCAATATGGTTTCAAAATTACTTTAGCTGTAAACAACTTTACCTCACCTAGTTTCTTCCTCGAAGCAAATTTCTCATGTCATAGGTAGACTTTTTCAAAATATTTTATATGAATTTACAATAGATACATAAAAGTTTAGAACACTTTATTATGAAAGAAAATGAAACGATCTTTCTGAGATCATATTAAACTTGTCTACAAACTAAGTTTTCTCGTCTAAACCCTCCATAGTTCTTGTCTCGTCTAAACTCACTTTAGCTGTCTTGAAAGATGTGCCCTTATTCTTCTTAGTATCCTCACCTTTACCTTAGTTTTCTTAAACTCCTCTGCCATAGTCTTCACCAAAGATTTTTGTGTGCAAAACTTATTTGATGTATATTGCAGGTCCAGTTGATGAATGTGTTGCAAAAGTGACAGGATTTTCCTGGATATTAGAAAGCATAACAGGTACCTAAAAATCAAATGTACTCTTAAAATATCATTCTAATAATATCTTATCATATTAACTAACCAAACAGTTTGTGAACTTGGACTTGGACAGTTTGGATATCCTTGATTTCCGTAGATAACATCTGCCAACAAAGATTAAGCGCAAGTAAGTTGTTGTAGTTTCTCTCCCCAAATAGTCAATATAACTTTATTGAAATCATGATATTTCTTCGTAATATTAATCTTTAAAAAACTTAAATCACACCTTAATTGAAAAGACTTACCAATCAAGAAGTTATGGTTGTGACCCCATCGGAAATGGTTTGGAAATTCACCAACGATAGGAACAAACTGTCTGATTTCAAAATCACAAAAGTAGGACTACTAACATTAACAAAGTAAACATGACATATTCCAAACAGATTTATAATACAAAAATGTTAACGATAATAAAAAATATTAACTGACATATTCCAAACCTTTTCTCTTCTTATTTTCAGGAAGATGTACCAACACCAAACCCATGTTCTTTCGCTCCTTGATGATCACAGGTAAACCATTGTCTGACTTGTGTTAACTCCTATGTCTCTGTAGCAAAACATTAGCTAATTTTCTATAATTTTTTTTGAAAAAACAGAACATAACTCGGTTTCTTTTCCCTTATTGAATGTCAAAAGGTTTTATAAACGAACCTGTTTCTCTGCCTTTTCACCTTGAAACAGTGACTTTCTTGTTGAACCCAATAGTCATTCTCGTAATAGTATTTATGATTCTGTGTACTGCTTATGATGTGCTGCTGAATGAGCATATATTTATAGTATAGATCCGTTTTGAACGTGCTAGGGTTTTGCGGAATTAATTTTTGAGGTATTTAAAAGTAATAGATTGCGAATATTTTAGTTAGCTTAGATTGTGGGAAGATTTGCTTAAATTTTGCGTGGAAAATAAGTATAGATGTTAGAAAGTTTTTGATATTGTTTACAGAACGGGAATGTAGCGTATTCGCTATTTTAAATGCAGGCGACATGTTTGGGATCTACCCTTAAATCATTAACAGGAAAGATGTCAGTTATGGAATTGCTGATTTTTCGTGCTTCCTTTTTTGATATTTTCAGGATTCGAATTGAATTGGTCGCCGGTTTTGTACTGAAAATCGAGTTGTGGCTCCGGTTTGATTTAAGTTAGATTTCCAAAGATCCGCGTGTTTAATTGTAGGCGTCGGGTTTCTTTCTTAATTTTTTAGTTAATTACTGGTTAAATCTTGTTTGGCTATAGGGATAGACGCTTTGTTAGTGCACTTTCTTTTGTTGTGTCTCTACTTTAATAGTATAGATTCTCTCATTATGTTTACATTTTCTGTGTTTAGTCTTTTGTAAACTGTACTAACTGTTCTTATTCTTTTGATGTTGTAGATTATGTCTTTGGAAAACTATGAGATCATCAACATCATAAAAAAACTGAAGAAACCAGGTACACACCATTTTTAACTATGGTACTTTTGATTAAGTTTTGGAGACGGTAATGGCATGATAAGGGAAACACATATCACCATGTTACAGTTAATATGCTCTTAATGAGTAAATTATGTGAGTTTTCTCTGCTTTGTTTCAATATATTTCATCACTCCTCTTAGTCAGGAATTTCTTATTGCTAATTACCAGGTTGTAAAAAATTTCAACAGCCATAACCCATGTCTTGAGAGTTTCGACAGCAAGAATTTCAACAAAATATCTTTTGCAATCAAAGCGTCAATGAGATGTAAGCTGTGTTCTAAAACCCGTGAGGCGGTACTCGGGCGCTCCGTCTCATTCTAACAATTTTCTCAAAAATCGGAAATAAATCGGAGAGTACTTGGAGATTAATTTTAAGTACATTTTTATATATTTCCAACATTATTAATTTTTTTATATATAAATATATCAATATGAAAATCATATATTACATTATTACCAAATAACATTATTTTCTTATATATAATACATCAATATGAAAGTCATATACTACATTTTTAAGATTTCATGTTGAATGAACAGTGTTTCTGCACACTTTGGGTGAATTGGAACTAACTGTGAACAAAAATCAAACTTTAGCCCATCAGATTTTAACATTTACTTGTTGATTTTGATAATAATGTGAATGTCAAAGTACGGTTAACGGTTGACCATATATTTACTCGGTTTTTGAAAAATCGGAACGGCAACCTCCTTTTGGCAGTTTTAGGACCGCGTACTCGGCAACTCGGCAACACAAGATGTAAGTCATGTAACATATAGATTTATTCAAATCAATGTAGGTGATATTTTCATATTCAGTTTGTTTCGGATCCAAGTGGATCAGATCGGGCCTTATATGTGGTGGCGATCTGGAACAACTTGGATAAAAGGGAAAGCGGTGGCAACAACAAATATTTTGATAGGACTCCATATTCCTTTTATATTTGATTCCCGTTCTAATCGAGGTGAGACTCCATATTGATGCACAAGATAATCGAGGTTTATCTAGCGATCATTGATACACAACGCTTAACGTCTTAGTAACAATAGAAATATACTAATTTAAAAATCTTTTCATTATGTTTCAAGTTGCATGTGTTTAGTTTTTTCTTAAAAAACTAATCATTACTTATTTTTTTGATGTTGTAGGTGGTGTCTTTAGACGAGCTTGCTCTGCCGGTGGCGATTTTGGAGGTGAAGGTGGAAACGCCGAGTTTCTCGATTGATGATACGAGGAAGCTGTTTAGAGCGGTCCAAACAAAAGTCATTAATACCAAGCTTAAAACCACTAGCGTTTGCTTTAAATCTTCTTCAAATCCTTATCATGAATCTTGAATCGTGAGGAATCTGGAAGATTCAGCAGTACCATATAGTTTTGGGAGTCTGCTTGTCTTAGAACCTTCTGCAATACTTTTTATTTCTTCGTTCAGCTCAAGGTGAGTTTTTTCTTTTATCTCTTGATTCATATTGAAGTTTTGGTCTCTTCTCTTTGAAAGTTGGAGAAATTTGTATGGATTTTGTGATTCCATTTTCTTTTCATATAAAGATAAATTAAATCAATATATATATACAATCTTCATTATATGTTGATAGGTGAAAGTTTTGGTGTTGGGTATATGTCAAAAATGAAGTTGATTTGAATGAGAAATAGAGGTCTAAAGTGGGTGTCTTGAAAAGCTTCAAAATTTAGCTAAGTGTAAAAACTAGCAAATGACCATATTGGTTTATAGATTTGAATTTGGGTTTGGGTTTGTTAATTGGACTTTATGTCTATTAGTTTGTTCTTGTGGACCAAACCTTTGTTGATCTTTTGTGTTTTTATTATAACACAAGAAGGCAAATCTATAATTAATTTAATCTTATATATAATGAGATAATATCATTCTCCATTCTCCAGTTGAATGACACCTGTCAAATATCATTTTTCCAAAAAAATGGCCGCGTCTATAATAATAAAAAAAAAAACAAATTGTTTCTGAGTCCTTATACAATTACGATTTTGCAAAACAAACCCAGCATTTAGTTAACGCGACTCCTAGCCCTAAACCCGAAACGGCGAGACGACGCCTTACTGAGTCAAACCTCCGTCACGTCGCAATCGCAGAGAAAGCGCCAACGCCGACTTAGATCTCAGTAGCCTCGCGACCGCAGCTAACGATGAGGACGAACGAATCTGGTTCTCCGCCATCCCGAAAGCTCTCCCCGACAAAACATCGGTGCTCCGTCGCCGCCAACCTCTACCGGCAGTAGATCGCTTACGGGTATCACCTCACACCGTTTAACATCCTGAATCTCCAGTCTCCCGCGCCCTGCAGGCTCTCTTCGATGAGACAAACGAAGCTGGATTCCGGTTCGCATTCCGAAACGTGTCTCCGACTAACCACCTGTGCTCCGTCACCACATCCTCCGCCGACAGTAGATTTCTTACGGGCATCAAACTCAGATACCTGATTGAGATTACAGTAAAACCTCTATAAAACAATAATGTTGGGACTTTAAAATTTTATTATCTTATAAAGTTATTATTTTATCGATAAAACAATAATTATTATTTTATAGAAATATTCTATCACAAACAGAAACTTTACAGAAAATATTTTTTTTTCAGTTTTTTATTCAAAATTTCCTTATACTACGTATTTCATATTATGTAGTTTTCTATTTTTCTTTTGACATATTTACATTTTTTTTTCTTTGTCCAACACATTATTTTGTTTATAAATGTAGCATTCTCTTTTTCTTTTAGCAAAGTTCTTCTTCGTACACAAATCTTTTTTATTATCACCAATTTCAGAAAAGACAAACTATATTGGAGTCATATTTTACTAAATTGCTTTAGATATATATGCCTTAGTTTTAAAATTATTATCTTAGCCTATTGTTGGGACTATATTTTTATATAGTAATTTCAAAAATCTTATTGTCTTATCATCTTATCGCATTATGCTATTTTTTACATTGACCCGAGTTAGGAGCAGAAAAATTTATTATCTTGTTTATTATTTTATCGAGTATTATGTTATAGAGGTTCTATAGTAACTTTAACCGATTGTTTCTTCGTCTTCTTCGATTGTGTTTCTTTTCTTAACCAAACGGCAAACCTCTGCCACTTCCCATTCTCAATCACATTAACCAAACGGATTAAATTGTGACCTTTTCAACTCCTTTTCCATTTCTCCTCTCTTATTTATAAATATATAAGATTCTGAGAAAGAATTTTTTTATCGAAGCTTGCCATGAATCCTGTTCCACCGTTGACGTTCCCGATCCTCCAGTGCCATCCGGACAAACATTAGATATTCTAGGATTCTATATGTGTAAGCCTCTAATTCACTTTATGGGTTCTTCTACTTGGATTTTCATTTAGGATTCTGCAAATCAAATCTTTGTTTCCTCTCTTTGGTGGTTTTCTGCGACCTAAACTCTCTAATCTTAGAATCCCAATTATGTAATTACCCAAGCATCAACCCAAAATTTGGCTCTGTTTATGATGCAGAAAGCTAGGATCTAACATTTTAAACTGAATAATTTTACGGATGTATTGATGAATATCTGTAAGTCTCATATTCCTATGAATTTGTATGCCAATGCGGATTTCATTTCAGTCACAGTTCAAAATTTACGCCACAGTTCATATTTTGGTTCTGAAAAGCCGGGGGTTTTGATTGATGCCCCTAGAAAATAGAGAAGATGTTAACCTGAAAACAAACGTGATAATTTATTTTGTATAGATTCTTTAGGTTGATGTATTTTGTAGCCAGATTATGACTACAAACATCTAATTTCGTTCTTGAGGTGATAACAGAGAAATCCTTTCAGCAAATCTTTAGATTTCTCAATGTCGACTCACGCCTGGTTCTATTTGGCTTAAACATTGAAAGTTTCGGCGGGTACATGTATTTGGGAACTGGATGAACGTCAGGAAATTAGCTCAAGACGACCACCAGAAAATCTTTTAGTGAGTTTTTTTGTGACTATGGCACTGCCGAGAAAATTTTCACTTTTTTCTTATATCGCACCTCTTCTTTGTTCTCAATATTAAATGGAAATGTCTCTGTAACGTTGCAGCTCTTTACAAGGAGGCTCAAGCATGATTGTTGATTCTCTTATGGTGAGTTTACGAGAAAATTTGGTAGAAAATCGCAGAGCTGTGTTTTCATTACTATATTTAGGAAATGTTTTCTTAAGCGTGTGGAGAACTGGGTTGACTAAAAGGTTTTAAGCAATGGACCTATGGTCCTTCAAGCCATTGAAGCGACTGATTTGATTTTATAATTCGACTTCCTCTTCCTCTGCACTTACCTATTTGATCTATGGAAGCAAGCCACTAACTCCGAGAGAAGCTACAGTTGTCTGGTTCCTCTGTCTTTAGTATAGTTATAGTATTAAAATGTTAAAGCTCAAAAGTTTGAAGGCTGAATATAGTGTATCTACTCAATCGTTTTGGGGTTAATTCTATGTTGATCTTTCTTTGGTCAGGTAGAGGCTAAAAAACAGAAAGCAAACGTTGGCATTAAACTGAGGAAACTTGGCGTCACAGTCACTTATGCGAATGCCATATCGTTCAAGTATTGCAACAACGTATGCCGCATCATGCAGCAGCTATCCCTCATTAATAATGTTGGCCAGCCTAAAAAACTTTTTTTTGTTGAAGACTTCCTTCCATTCTGTGTGCTTATGTTTGATGATTTAAGATTCAAATGCTTTTTTTGAATATTGGTTCCACATGCTGCTTATGTTTTACTCATGTTATTAACATGACACATACTCGATACTTGGTATGACAATTAGTTATTTTTGTTTTAAAAGATCTACTGATCTTAAGACTCAAAAGGGAAAATTATAGTCCTCAATACTCAATAGTATCGAGCAAGGTTTTATTATTTGTTGTTGACTATGTATCTTTCTCAGCACTCTCAATATCTACAGCAGCGAGCCTAAACCACAATCCCTATGCGGTTTAACTTTGTGTTACTTTGTAGTGGTTAAAGCAGTTTTAGACATTGGACAGAAAACAAAAGACAAAGCTAAAGTTTACCAACAGCCGTAACCTACACATTGGCAGGGCCGTGCCCACATTGTTTCTTTTGAAACATCGGCCTAGGGACCCAAACTTTATAAAAAAATTGAGGGGCCTATGTGGTTTATATGTACTAATAGTATTAGTAAAATAAATTTATATTAATATAGCAACTAATTACTAATTAATTTAAATTACAAAAAAATATTAAGGCTATGTTCTTTTATCCTTTGTCAAAGATTTTGATTGACAACTTCTCAACTTTTCTTCTTCTCCATAAACAAAACAAAATCAAATAATACACTGAAGTTGTTGATAAAGTCTTACCTTCGTTTAACTATGTCATCAGAGAGATTGAGTAACTTGGCTATCTTATCTATTGAAAAGGAGCTGCTTAAAAGTGTCGACTTTGAAAGTTTGGATACTCAGTTTATTAGAAAGAAGGAGATAAAAGTTACGTTTTAAAACTAATGCTGTATTTTGTTTTTTGCTATGGTTTTTATTTGTTTATTTGTGATGATGATAGTTATAACTTTGGAACGATAATATTTATCATATGAATGGATTAGATAATTTTAGGGCCATTTTTTTTTTCTGTTTAGGGCCTCTAAATCTATGAGAACGGCTCTGCACATTGGCACCAGGAACGACCGAAAGGGTATTCTCTGATTCGTTCTTATCAAAACTCAAACAACTATAATCATCTGGTCCAAAAGTTTACTGATGAATGGTCTCTAATCTATGAGAAAGTATTTAAAGAAGGAAAAAAAACATATCTAAATCTACAGTTACCAAGATTTATTTTCTTATGTATGATACAGTTACCATTTTTTTCCTGAAGGTATGATCAATATCAAATAACTGACATCAAATAAAAAAGTTGATTTAATATACGTAAAAGAATAGTGGATACATAATATAATTTAAACATATATATAAACCTACACTTTGATCCGATATAATAATTGAATTTTACCAAAGAAAAATATTATTATTTCACATAATCCAAACATAATAATTGCTTCGTAATTCTTATACACATAACTTGCGCATCGCGCGGGCTTAACCCTAGTATTAATAAATTTGAACTAGATCTTAACCCGTGCTTGGAAGCACGAGATGTTGTGATTTTTATAATTATATATGTATATATGTGTGTGATATATAAGGATGAATTAGTGTTATTTTGATTATTTTGGGAAATACGGAAAGTTTTAATTTTTGTAAAATATTTATAATATATGATGAGGAATTAGTGTTGTTTTTATGATGTAAGTATCTAATCTTATAATTTACAACCCCATATCCATAAGATGAGCGAAAACAATAAAACCGATACATGATGGCCGAACAGTATATCATTTACATGTGTCGATTTGCACGATGGTGTCCGGATTTGTTTGGTGAGTTATAAAATAGATAGAATTTCACATATGACATTCTATTTGTTTATGTTTTCATTTTTTGGAAAAGTAAATTTATATAGACATTATATAAATTTTTTAAACTGCTTATGTTTTTAACTTGTTCCATTTAATCTCAGATTTTTTTATTGCATTTTAAAGGTCATAACTTTAAAAAAAGTACAATAAAAAGTCCACAATTTTGAATGTTACAAATTGCACCACTAAATTTCTCTGTTTTTTACTTTGGCATAGGGTCCAAATTCGGATTGGGCCGGGCCTGAGTCTACCAATTACTCTTACCATTTGAAAATAACTATTTTATAACTACATTTTGTTTCGAAATCAATTTGCTTCGGTTTTGGTTAACCGAGAATGCATTTGGACCAGGATCTATTTCAGCCGGTTTAAAAATCTTTTCAGTTCTAATTTATTCCCAATCGGTTGAAACAGCGTCTCAATTTCCTGTCTCTGATTCTTGCTTCCGATCTTCAATTTCCTGTCTCTGATCTCTTCCTTCTACTTCCTTACATCAGGAAATTGAGACGCTAAGCTGAAATTCGAACTCTCGGTGGCGATTTCACAATCTCTTCGAACTATCGGTGGTGAATCCCAAAAGAGTTTGTTTTGGTTCTGAGCTGGTTTACACTTGATGTATAGTTCTCTTGGTCTTCGATTCTCCTCCGCTCCTCATATGCCTCCAGAATAGTCGATCTCTACTCGCGGCATCGCACTCCATTCGATCTGTATCTAAGGTAAATCCCTAAACTGAAGAGATTTCCTTTGCGTACCTGATAGAATCATTTAGTCTTCGTTGTGAATTCAGATTATCGAAACTCGTTTCTATGGTTATAACGATGTTGAAAGGATGTCGAATTATTCAAACTCTTCCTAATGATAGTGATGGTAGTTATGATTCTAGTTAGCTCGAACAATCATAACTTGTCTTTGGTTCTGTTTTAAAATTATCCGACATAAAGTGAAGGTTAATGTTAAACTATATTGAAAACTATGTATATTAATGTCTATCAGAATCAATTAAAGATTTGTTAATCACAATTATTGTTTGCATGTCTGAGGGGATATGTCTTTTTCATCGGCGAAGAAGATTGAGCACGGAAACATAAGTCTTGAATTCTTACAAAAACGTCAATGCAAAACAGTGAGGTAAATGTTCTTTGCTTCTCATAGCTTACTCGAATCTGTGATTTCACAGTTTGTTTATACATCTAGCTGTCAATTATTTGTGAAATGAATTCTTTGTGTTCATATTGACATAGCCTATGAACAGATAAAATCAACCGTCATTAAATAAAAACATAGATGCATTGTAAAACATTAAACGAAGGTTTTATACCTTATTGTCTTAAATGAGTTGCATATTGAAAAGTAAACATAGTGCATTAACTTAAAACATGTGCGGAATTTATCGTAGATAATAAGATGGACATCACTTTTTATTGTCGCTTTTACAACCGTTGAAGTAATCAAATTCCATTTCATCTTCTTCTTCTTCTTCACTGTCTGGATCAGAAGAGCACCTGCAGGAAAGAAATTAGATTTAGTAAGCTATAACTTATCAAATTATTGGTCAGAGCAACTCAAATGTATTAGGTAACGTCATAGTTAGAATATACTTACTCAT